CAATTTCAACTGCCTTCAATTCCCTGTGATGATCTTAAAACAACATCAGTACTTTCAGAACAGAACAGAGTTGTGTCAAAATCTAAAACATGGTTAGCTTACATTTTTAACTATCCTAAGGGTAACCACTGCCTGCTGAGCCAGACTGATTTTCAGTTCACTTATACTTTCACCAGTGTTATAAAAGTTCTAGACATTTTCACCTATTCGAGATACTTGAACATATTTTTACAGTAATGCTGAGACATTTTACTTACTTATAACCCCAGGCTGTTATTCCTAGTATGAGGGCCAGCACCAAAATGGTGCCAGCAATTATGCCTATGATGATATTGGTCCCAGCAACACCTGAGAAGGAAAACAAGGGGAAGAATGAGTGATTCAAGATTTCCTCGGGAATGTGTTCTCGTGACTTACAATCAACATGCTAAACAAGTATTTTTCAAAAGAAAGAGAAGTCACATCGATTGTCTTTCAATCAAATTTTTGTGCATCTTCTCGATTCTTGTCCAAGTACACTTTGCATGGTTGTATTTCCCATGTATTTTTCTATGCAATGTAAAGTCATGGATCCAAAACAAGGAAAAGTAATTAGATGTGTTTAAAAACCACAGCACTATTCAGGAAGGGAGTTTTGAAAAATCTGTGCTCCTTTTTACCCTTTTCTCAATCTCAAAAATTCTAAAATGCTATGTTGATATCAATCCACTTAACAACTAAAGCAAGGGCCCTGCCACTCTCAGTTGTGTGCTACATTTTGTTTCTGTAAGTGAACATAAGGTTTTCTTTTTCTTTTTTTTTTTTGTTTTGTATTTGGGACACGGTGTATACAGTATACAGGATCTCACTGTGCAGATCGGACTCATAGTGATCCACCTGTTTACAGCCTCCCAAGAGCTGGGATTACTGGCGTGCACCACCATGCCCAGTCTCAATCGCAGTCTCAGCGTGCCCCGGGGACAGAGCTGGCATGGCAGGCCAAGGTTCTCAAGTGAAAAAACATCCACAGGTTTCTATGCAAAGTGCTCAGCTGTAAGGCTAGGGAAGACAGCTCAGTGGTCTAAGAGTCTGCCTGACAAGCACAAGGGCCCCAGTTCAAGCCCCAGTACTGCATGCCATGCCAGCCCTTCCCCTCCATCCCTGACATGGTGGTGCACACTTGTAATCCCAGCACTGCGGAGGCTGAGACAGGAGGATCACTGCAAGTCTCAACCATGTAGCCAGACCCCGTATCAAAAACCAAAACAACAACAAAAAAAGTGTTCAGTTGTGCAGATGAAAAGCGCTATGGCCAGAGGTCTGGGAACTGACTGCTACAGCACCCTAGGAAGGGAACGTGGTCTGCAGCATTACAGCCTGGCACAGCTGTGGCATGAGAGAAAGGAGGCACTAGGTGGGCAGAGGCCAGGCAGGTGGGATGCAGGCCACAGATCCACTGAATACTCCGTACTTGCGTGGCTAAGTCAGCACCCACTGCCAGGCAGGCTGTGACAATATCCTCAAGTGGAGCCCAGCAGTAAGCATGGCCTTATGAGTTCAAGCCTTAGATAACAAGCTCCTGGGAGGGCCCCAGGGCAGAAAGCTGGGCCTGAGGCTGGGCTCTGATAGCAAGTGCCTCATTTGGCTGTCAGTGATTTATAACCCGGGTTTAATGGCAAGGTTTGCACCGCAGTGGCGCCGATCTGTTCTCATCCGCTCTGCTCCTGAGGTGTCCATTAGCACCAAAGGCCAGTGGTCCTGGCAGTGGAAGGAATGTCCAGTTCTCCAGGGAGGAGGGGTCAGTCCAGGTACCAGAGGGGCCCCTGGGCACTGAGCTTTTCTGACACCAGGATTTAGTGCCTCTGCCCTTCCTTCCTTCTCTTCCAGGGGTTTAAATGGGATCAGTAAACTTAGGGATTCTTCTCCATTATTTGAGTAATAGCATGGCTTTTGCTAATCCACTTAAAGTCCATATTCTTACAAATATCCTTATCTCTGCATTAAGTACAGAACAAGCTCACTGAAACATTTATCATTGCTAAGTGTGAGGATCCCAAAATCCTAATCATTCTGTGACTTTTTTTTTTTTATTAAAGTCATGTTAGTGTGACGGCCGGGGAGATAGCTCAGTAGGATAAAGTCATGTTAGTTAAGACTTTGCAGCTGTCTAGCTAATTAAAATAAATACATTCCTTTTTCTCATCCTTTGGGGGCAAATGAACTTCAGAACTTGAGCAATATCTCAGGCAAAAAATATATAATAATCATATGATGAAATAACTTGAAAGAAAAACCTTACCTCCAAGGTACAAATTCTTTTAATTACCTTCATTTAATTTCTTCCTGGAGAAGAAACTCTGTTTTCACAACTGTCCCTCCCCTCTGTTTCTGATCTATGCCTCAAACCCTGCCAGGTGCTGAGACCTAAGTTATTACTTCTAATTTAGAGTAACAAAATGGTGCTGAATTACTGATGAGACTTTAGAATAAAGACCATTAAAATAAATTCTTTGATTCTTTTTTTTTCTGTATTTTAGGGAAGGGGCTCCAGGGTGTTCAGGGTCTCACTACTAGATTGGTCTTGTAGTAATGTTCCTGTTTACAGCCTCCCAAGAGCTGGGATTGCAGGCGGGTGCCACCACACCCAGTCTCAGTTGCCATCTCAGCCCACCCTGGGGGCTGAGCACAGCTCTTACTTTTTTTTAATGCAGTCTTTAAATATAAAGTTCTCTCTTTAAGTTATGAGTACTTTCTTCATTCAAAAAAAAAATGCCAGGGTTTCATGACAGCCTCAGATGAATAGGACAGTTGGATGATCCGTCTAAGTAGAACATGATACAGCTAAATCAGTACACTGACTTACACTAGATATGAAAAATGATTACGATTTAATGAAAATGATCAGTTTTATAAGCAGATCTTAGCTGTGCAATTCATTATTATGTGGATATAATTTAATTTTGAGTTATTATAAAAAATAACTCAAAAGCATACAAAGGGCAGTTTTCTCTTTCCTTCGATACGGAGACGATACAGTGATACACATTAAGTACCCACCATTGCCAGCCAAAGTGATGCCTGTCTTTGCATCCTCGTTATAAGGGAAGTAGATGCTGCAGTCCGCACCTGTCCAGTGCCTGTTACACACACACGTCAGTTCATTACTGCAAAACTGAAATCCAGAATCAAGGTGAACATTACTTCTCTGGTCCAGAGGCACGACAAATAAACATTAATTTCGGATTGTTAAGTGCTTGGAGTTTGATGATACTGGAAAATTATTGGTGCTTTCTTCCTAATACTAATTCTTTTATTCCTCATTGTATTACCTAAAGAAAAAATTCCTAGGAACCAACAGATGACCGACAGGGAACAATGAAATCTAACAGAGGGAAATATCTCTAGCTATGTCTAAAAAACATCAGTGCAATTATTGCTTTCACTTTTATTAACTGTTATAAGAGATTTAAGAATTAAGCATTGGGGCCAAGAAGATGACTCAGTGGAATAAGCGCTTCCCTGGCAAGCATAAGGGCCTGAGTTCAATCCCCAGTTCTGCCAAAATAAATAAATAAATAAATAAATAAATAAGTATTTAAAAAATAAAAATTAAGCATTAATACAATTGTCTGTCAGGTAAGCAAGAAACTTTCTTTTCTTCCAAAGAAAGGTTCTCTGTTAGTTTGTCTGCTTTTGAGATGGACTCCTGCTTTGTTACCCGAGCTGGCTATGAAATCCGGGCTCAAGCAATCAGCCTGCCTCAGCTTCCTGAGTCGGTGAGACTACAGATACATGCCCGGCAAAAAGGAAAATAAAGGATTTTTTATCTCAAATTTTATTACTGTTTTAAGAAAGAGAGTAAGACAAAGAAAAGTCCAGCAAAGCAATGAAAAGGCCTACAATTTTCCAGTGGTCAGAGAAAAAATTTCATAAGGTGATTGCCCTGGGATCTCAGCTCAAGCATGTCCACTTGTATCTTATAATTCAAAACAAATGAGTGGAGTTAAAATGGGAGAAATTCCTCCTGGGGCAGATTTTCACTAGAGGGGTGTTTTGGTCTCTAATTTCCAAAAGACCACACACATCCATGTCTAGATGTATCCATAAAGTAGCCCCAGGAGGAACTACAGATGAACAAATACGCACTAAGAAAAAGGTTCAGGCTTAAAGTCAAACAGTCTAGCTTCAAGCCCCATTTCACTCCTGTCCTAACAGTGCACCGACATCAGGTCCTGCCTCCCCAGCCATCAGTTTCCATGTCATATGACAGGACCAGTGATACAGAAACACAACAGACCAGATGGCGGTGATCGAAAGACACAGCCGAGCTAACATTTATTGAATACTCACTATGTCCCAGGCAGTGTTTAAAGTGCTTTATAAGTGTTAATTTGTGTATTCTTCACAGCAATCCCATAAATAAGGCACCACTATTAACCCCATTTTACAGACAAGTAAACTGACTCACAGAAGAGCTAAGGAATTTACCCAAAGTCATCCAGAGAGTAAGAAGCAGAGCTGGGAAGCAAAGCCACCTGTGTGCAAATCCACAGGCTTAATCACCTGAGGCACAGTGTGTAAAGGGCAGCTACTGCTCTTCTTCCTTTTAACCAAGTGACTGGAGGCCAAAATTACATGGTCTGCGACATTTCTGTATTACCTACGACTGCTGTAAGTTACTTGGATCCTATTTACTATCACATCAATGTTCACTCTTTTATTAATTTATTAAACCAATGCTATTTGGATGCAACTATTTTTGGTCTCTGAATGTTACATTTGAAAGTTTCACATGAATATAATATGGTAATTCACACTTTAGCTGGATAATCAAAAATAATTCCATTAATCTTTCCTCCTAATCCCTCCAAAATGCTTTCCCTAAAATCCTCTTAATGATTAAGGAAAGAAGATTTAGCAGACTCCTTTTTAACAGAAGCAAAGTTACTGATTCTGTCTTTTCTTGTTTGTCACAAAAGAATGTCTATGCTTTGTCAAGGAGGGACAACTAGTTACTTCCTTAATAATCAGTTACTGGTGTATCTCTCAGACATATTGCATGAAGTGGCCAGCATCCTTTACCTCAATGGGATAATATAATCAGCTTATATAAAGAATCTAGAATGAAGATAAAAAGAAAATCATAGAACATGTGAAAGGGAAAGGACTAAGATCTTTTCATTAGCACATGTATTCCTACTTGAAGATGAAAAAATGACCTTTAAACTTGATTACATTGATATGTGAATAACATCTGAACATATAGTAGAATAGCATCTAGTATATAACTGAAAGAACAGAATGGAAATGCTTTCAAATGCCATTCTTTCTATGCATCTGTAAGAATCAGTTTCCTAAATTATTTCTAAGCTTCATCCACAGCTGTTATTATGGTGTGTTCTGACTGGTCAGTACCTAGGCCATACCAATAATTAAATATTGGGGCCATTAGCTCTCTTTTTCACTCCACCTTAAAAAAAAAACCCATTTTGTTTGTTAAAATTTATCTTCTACTTCACTTGTAGAAAACTAATACTGTATTCTATGAAGCCACATTAACCTAAGAAAGGAAGAGAATAACTTGACTAAGAGAGTACCTGTTTCTTATTCCTAGTCATTCTCAGATTGCAAAATAAAAATATCCAAATAGCTATAATCAATTTAGTGTTCACATATCAACCAGAAACATGGATAAACATGTTTTCTGTAATGAAGGAAATAAGTACTTTAGGATCATATTTATTTCTGTGACATAGGAGAAATGAACAGCTCCCCATGGCAAGGCACGGGATGAATACTTACTCCGTTTCCTGAACAAACAAGGCCTTCTTTATTGCTTAGGCAAGTGCTAAAGTTGAAGGAAGCCATGGGAAGACACCTGTGTTCTAAGCACATCATTTTGGGACCACAGGGTGTCCCATCTTCTACATAGCCAAGATCGACATCTTCTTCAAGCTTAACATGCCCACCACTGAAAACAGATTGATTGCAAACAAGAAAATAACATTCCATTAATTTGCATGCACCTTGACAATATTCCTAAAAACCAGAAAGCAGGCAATCACGTCTACTTTCCACTTACAACTCAACAAAGGTCAGGAACAGTAAGCATATTCAACATTTATTTTATTTTATTTATTCATTTGCCGTACCAGGGATTGAATTCAGGATCTTGCACTTGCCAGGGAGGCACTTATTCTTCTGAGCTCTCTCCCTGGCCCCAATGCATTCTAAAACTTAAATATAAGGGCCTGAGCTCAAGTGACTTTATTATTTTGCCATCATTACTGTGTATCAACCCAATAAGCTACTATTGTTACATTTGATTTAATAAGTAGACTTTAGGATTTCAACTGTGTTTCAGAAAGGATGAAACATAGGTTGGGTTTATAGATTCTAAAAACATTAAGCATGTACAAATTCTATTTGAGAATGACAAAACTATTATAGTTTTTTTATTCAATATAGCAAGCACATATTATGTAGAAGTAAACAAAAGCATAAGAATTGAAAATTCATAGCCATAATCAACTTTTCATGTTACCATGTGAATATTAGTTTAAAAAACCCATTCTTTTTATTTGTATCAAAATTTTGCATGCCCACAATGTAAAGAATCAAATAGACAAATTGGTTTTATAAATGCAATAAGCAGTCATCTTCCCCAATACAGTTTTCTTAGCAGAAATCCACTTTCTATTTTCACTAAATTTTTGTTATTTATGTATGTTACTTATGAGTTTTGAAATTAGTTTTGCTACTATATTTTATTTTTTCAATTTTAGGTATTATCATTTGATAACATCTTTTGATAATTCCCTTTAGGGAAATTGAGAATCTATCTTTCTTTTCCCTATTGGTCATACACTTTGTTTAATCAATAGTTAAATCAGTAAAAAACATATACATTATAACTATGGGAAGGTCAGTTCTATGACATAAGCCTTCTCCCTGTACTACTGTTTGCTTTCTTCTAAGCTATTAGGTCTTTTGTTTCTTGTTCCTCTACCTACTTCTCTAAAAATGTCCTGATTAACTCCAAGGTAATCCAACCTCCCTGTTCACTGTCAGATTCTCCAATGAAGGTATGTCTGTGTCAGTCTGTCTTCCTTTGAAAAGGTCTCCCAGAGTTTCTGACCTGTTCCTGTGTGCCGGTCGTCCTCACGCACCTAAATGAGCCTGTAAATCTTAGATTCCCCTCACCATCCATTGTAAGACTGCACTCTTGGGCCAGTCAAATAGCTCAGCAGACTAAAGCACCTGCTTAGACAGGCGCAGGAACCGGGATTCGATCCCCAGTGTGCCATGCTTGCCCTGCCCACGGGGCATGCTGACCCTGCAACTGAGACTGGGCGTGGTGGTGCATCCCTGTAATCACAGCACTTGGGAGGCTGAAAACAGGAGGATCCTGAGAGTCCTATCTGTGTAGTGAGACCCTATAAGCCCTGTACACTCTCTCCTTGGTGGGCATCTTATTTGTGTCCCTTCCCTTTCTCTTCCTTGCCTTACTCCTTCATTTGGTTGGGACACCATTTCTAGTTGCTTCCTAAGAAAGGCTAGAGGTGAGTGAATTTTGGAGAAACTTGCACAGTAAAAAAAGTTTTTTTTCTTTTTTTTAATCCAACAGCTGTAAAATATATTTTTATTTTTAACAATGGAACTTTTTCTGAAATAAGCCATATTTTAGGCCATAAAGCAAATGCTAAAAATTTTAAATCTAAAATAATTTTTTGCATTTCTATCAGACCATAATGGTATGAAACTAGAAAACAACAGCAAGAGGAACTGTAGAAAATATACAATCACATGGAGATTAAACAAGGGCATTTTTTTATTGGGCCATCCTGGCAAACATAATGAATATTCATTGTGGGGAGTTGGTGCACTGCACACAGGACACATAATTCCTTTTACTTCCCTTTCTCCTCTCTTCCCTATTCTCCTTCCTTCCCTGGCTCTAGATGCCCTTCCCACCTACGAGAGGCCCATCTCCCTGTTTCCTATCATGTGTCTTTTACTTTGCTCTACTTTGTCTTATCTAACTACTTTTTTAGCAGACTTTCATCTATTGTCTTTATTTCAGCCTCTACCCCCAAACTCCTTTGCTCCGCTTTCAAAAGTATGCAATGTTGCTAATTTCGGAATCTTTCCAAAAATGGACAATATCTCTCAAACTGGATCTCAGTTTTCTCCAATACCTACTAAGAAACAAACTTTCTGAGTTCTTGTAAGTCCTGTGCCACTCAACCATTTGCTTTATCTTCTAGAACTGCTACTCTTGTCTCCTGTCCTTCTCCTATGAATACAGGAATTCTTAAAAAGATCCATTAGGGCTGGCCAAATAGCTCAGCGGATTAAAGCGCCTGGGCGAAGAGGCTGGGGGTTTGATCCCCTGGCCTGCCATGCCGGCCCCAGCCCCGCCCCCAGGGCACACTGAGACATCAATTGAGACTGGGCATCGTGGGGCACACATCTGTAATCCCAGCTCTTGGGAGGCTGTAAGTAGGCAGATCACTATGAGTCCGATCTTGTAGTGAGACCCCGAACACCCTGTAGACCCTTCCCTAAAAATATAAAAAAATTAAAAATAAAAATAAAAAGATCCATTAACTCATGAAAGTGGGACCTGAGAAGGAAGAAAAAATAGGTCCACATATTTCAATCAGACTTTCCCTTGAAGTAGCATTCATTTTCCTTAATAAGAAGGAAAGGCAAACTAAGTGCTGCAAGATTTTACCAATCAATTAAACATCAACCTGGCAACAATATAATATTCCACATTCAACTAAATCTTTGATCACTTTCTGTTGGGACTGACTCAGTCGCCTGATGGACTTGCTTCCAGTTTGCCTTATGAATCTGCACTGGAGCTGAAAACAGTAGTCCCACACTGCACTCTTGGGAAGTAAGGTGACTGATGTTCTTGCGGAATGGCTAGATAATTACCTGCAATTTAATGTTCTTCCCTGCTGCACAACTAAAGTAGATGTGATTTCCCCATCGAGCTCTCCGAGTCTTGGGATACTGCCAACATTGGTGCACAGAAGGTAACCACAAAGCACATCCCTGCATTGAAAGAGCACCAATTATTTATGTGCTACTTTTTGCAAAGATATAACAAACCACACACAATTGTAATGATAATCCTCTCAAAATTTTAGCATGCTTTTTAACCAGCTATATTACTTACATGCCACACAAAGCAAACTGAAATGAGTTTGCCTTCTACTCTGAAAAGTACCTTAACAGTGGACCAAAATTGCAACCATTTTAGCTCCCCTTTACTGTCTAATAGTTCAAGTACTAGTTACACAAAAGTATCAAATTAAATTTTTTATGTTAGAATCTCTTTCCATTAAACATCAACACACATTAGATGATGAACTATGTTTAAGTATTCAGTAAGTGAATGAATGACCTGTGATCAGCATTCTTTTGTAATATAGACCTTTCTCTAACCCGTCTTTCCAGAATCAAAGGAAACATTTTATACTGCACAAATTGTATAGATTCCCAACCTCAAAAGCTTACTACCTTTTACAAATTGTTACTTCTCCTACTACCACATGATTCTAATTCAATTTTTTTTTCTTTTTGTAAAATTAATTTTATTGAGAAAGAAATAGCAATGAGACAGTCTCAAAACAGGTTAGTAGGACAGTTACAATAATTAATACATTGCATATTGTTGAAACATTGCTGATCTAAGAATAAAAAGAAAAAAAATACTACCATGGAGTCTGTATGTACCATTATGTGCTAAGTACAGTTTTTCATTAATTAGGGATGGTATGTATACAAAGGGAAAGTGGAGGTAAGGTTCAGAGAGTTAAAACATCATGCCCACATTGTGATACCAGCAAAGGATAAAAGTAGTATTAGCTCCAGGTTGGGATTCTAATTCAATTTAAAAATGTCTTCATTGATTTAAATGTATATTTTATTAAATACATTGTATTTACAATGTAAATTGATTAAATCAATGTAAATTAATCAATGTAAATTGATTAAATCAATGTAAATTGATTGTAAATCACAAAGATTTTATTAAATATCTTGTGAGCATTGAGTGGAGGATCAGAAAGATTATGTGTAAAAATGTCAGTTTTCAAATTAATAAAGGAGAAAGCTTAGATCTGTATTTATCACCAACATGGAAAACAATGTGTATTAATGTAGTCTTTAAAAATAATTTTTAAAATTTTATTTTACTGTATCTATTACAAACAAAATTCTTTTTAAGCAAAAGAAGCCTGGTGTGGCAGCACACGCCTATAATCCTAGCACTCAAGAGGCTGAGGCAGGAGGATCACTGCAAGTTCGAGAGCAGCCTGGGCTACAAAGTGAGCTCAAAGGCAGCCTGAACTGCACAGCAAGACCCTATCTCAAAAAGATTATATATATATATTTTTAATTCATTTATGTATATTAACTTTTCTGAGTAACTTAGAATATATAAAGAAAACTGGATACCATCTTTTGCCTCAAGGAAATTAAGCTCCGGATGAAATGATAAATCATATACATAAAAACTGTAAAACATGCAATTGGGGGAAAGGGCCAAAGACTAGCAGGAAGGATTATGGGAGTTTAGGGAAGAGAGAGATGACTTATTTCAAGGGGAAATCAAGAAAAAGAATATAGAGAAAAAGTTTTCCAAATGGGCTTTGAACGTCAGGTAAGTTTTTCACTAATGATGGTATGGGTATAAAAGTTTCCTGAGGAAGGAACAGGACAAAAAGACATGAAGGTCACAGTGTGCTTGTGTATCGGGAAGAGTAAGGTTTGTTGGACTTTGAGAAGAATAGAGAAGCTCAAAAAATGTAGATTGGTGGGAGTAAGTCATGGACTAGGTACAGTGCCAAGCTATGATCCCATTTTGTTACATAGATATATTTTCTTTCTCTTTCTTCCCCCCCCCTTTTTCTTTTCTTAATGTATTTAGTACAGGGTCTCACTACACAGATTGGACTTGTAGTGATCCTCCTGTTTTCAGCCTCCCAAGCGCTGGAATTACAGGCACACACAACCACACCCAGTTTCAGTCACCCTCTCTGGGCACCCCCGGGACAGGACCAGCATGGCAGCACTCCAGGGATCGAAATCTGGTCCCTGAGCCTGCCTAAGCCGATGCTTTAGTCTGCTGAACTATCTGGCCATCCTTTTTTTTTTTATTGTGGTACTGCAGATTGAACAATGCTGTTCTCCCACTAAGCTATATTCATTACCCTCTTTCTTTATCTCTCTTTCTCCCTTCCCCTCCTGTGTTCTCTGTCTGTCTGTCTCTCTGTTTCTATTTCTTATTTTTGCAGCAGGGTCTCTCTAAATTGCTCAAGCTGGGTTCGAACCTGCAATCCTTCTGCCTCAGTCTTCCAACTGGGAGGATGGGATGGCAACCATGTACCTCCACACCCAGCTCTACTCTTTTCTATTACATTCTGTCTACATGACCTTAAATAAATTCATTGATTATGCTTCTGTTTCCATAAGAATGGGAAGACTGCCATAAAGAATAGTATATCTAATGCAAAACATGATACAATTTTTAGCACATAGTGTGCATATAATGTTTGGTATTATTCTCAAGTAATTAGCTACGTGGAAGTAATAAAATTTGAACAAAGAACTGACGTAAGATAAGTCAGGAGGAAAGTATTGTGACGTTAGTATGGCAGAGACTGCTGGTATAGGAAACTTAAGAGAATGTTAAAACAATAACTGAAGAGCTAATACAGGTCTCAGGGTAATGCCAGCAAAGAAGGAAATGAAAAACTGAATTAAAAACCAGTGGAAAGGGGCTGGTGAGATGGCTCAGTGGTCTAAAGCACCTACTTAGAACAAGCTTAGACAAAGCACAGGGACCACGGTTCAATCCCCCAGCACCACATGCCAGCCAGCCCCGCCCCCTGGTGGGCTGACCTGGCCACACACACACACACACACACATATAAATAAATAAATTAGAAAAAAAAAGCGAAGTTAAAAAAAAAAAAAACAGTGGAGAGGAGCAAAAGGGGAAAATGCCCATGACTTGGTGTTTGGACAACATACAGAAGAAAGAAGTGTTAAATTTCACTCCTAGGCTTCTATACAGGCAGTGAAACCTTGGGATTTTGGCAAAAATGGAAGTGATCTGACCAGTTAACTCATGCAATAGCACTGAGTATATTTGTTCTGGTGGCTTAAATTCCTGTTATTTTCAAGTGCTGGGAGGTGTCCTCTAGAGGAGAAATTTCTGCCACTACCTGGATGACACAAGCCTTGGAAGACGTGGGGCACAGGTCAAGGTTTGGGAGCCCTGGGGCACAGGAACCTCGGGAAGAACGGAGTAGGCAAGAGCGTGCTCCGTGGGCTGCAGAGCGCAGGAGCATCCAGGAGCCCCCAGGGCGAGTCTGGGCTCACGGCTCCACCTCACCGTTTGTTGCACTGTATCCAAGTGTCTTTGTCTTTCCCACAGTTACCCTTCTCGGTCCCCTCGATATTCAGTTTCTCGTAGCAGTACTTGTCGGACGCCGTCACCTCTGAAGCAGAACAGAATTCTCCATCAGTGAGGGAGGAAGACGCGAGCTGAGCAAAGCGCCTAGAGCAAAGCTCCAGCTCCAGGACTCTTCCCATCGCAGCGCTGTCAGGCTCCCAAATAAAACCTGCCATGGCTCATGACTGGGTCCCAGGCGTCCCAGGCTCACGGACGTTTGTTCATAACTCATTTGAAATTTGGTAAACGACCATTGTTAGGTCTCTGATGGGACTCAGGCTACAGAGGGCAAGAACACTGCGCAGGAATTGGCTAATAAGGAAGGAGGTGCAGTCAAACAGCTTCGAGAGTAAATACAGGCTTCAAGCTTAGTGCTGGATAGAATGCATGACTTTTTTATTTTTTAAAAGAGAATAAATAATTTTGAAAAAATTAGAAATTTTAATTTTAATTAAATTCTAATTTTTGTTTAGAAATTTTAATTAATTTAATTAGAATTTCACTAAATAATATAATACAAACTCAACAATGGCTGTATTGCATATTGCTGTCCTCAAATTAGTTGTCCATATTACCAGGTATAAGCATGCAAGATTGTTCAAAAATTTTTTTAAATTAAAAAAAAATAAATTTAAGCATTAACTATTCCTTTTAATTAGCCACTAGAAATCAGCAGTACAATTTTTCCTTCTATCCTTGTACATACAAGGGTATATATTTTCCCCTTCCTCCTTTCTTTTCTCCTTTCCCTCATCACAGTTATTCCTTCCCTTTGCTTAGTTTCTTTCCCTTTCATAATATCTATTGTACCATTTGGATTTTATTTACTCTTTCAGGTTTTTACACTAGGGAGACAATACAATGTTTACACACATGGATCTTATTTATTTCACTTCTGAGTGTGACCTCTAGTTGCATCCATTTACCTAAAGCCTTGAGTTTATCTTTTTTATAGCTGAGTAATACTCCATTGTACCAAAATACCACATGTTTTCTATCCATTCCTCAGCTGATGGGCATTTGGGTTATTTTCAAAATTTAGCTATGACAAATTGGGCTGCTGTAAACATTATACACATATGTGGTATAATGTTTTCAGTTCTTCTGGAAAAATACCCAGAAGGGGAATAGCTGGTTTAAGAAGACTTACAATCCTAGCTTTTTAAGGAATGTCCACACTGATTTCCACAGAGGTTGTACCAGTCTATCCTCCCCCAACAGTACAGAAGGGTTGCTCTTTCTCCACAGCCCCTCCAGTACTTGTTAGTGGTTGATTTCTTGCTGATAGTCATCCTTTCTGGGGTGAGAGGGAATCTGAGTGTTGTTTTAATCTGATAATGCATGGATCTTTTAAATTGCAAAATTTATCAATTGAAATTCAATTTCATTAAAATATGAATGCACTGTGAGTGGATTTAAGAAATAGTGGCACAAATTCTATTTGTTTATTAGTTCTTAACAGCTATCAAAAACAATTTTATTATGCTTTTAATGAGATTCAAGCTAAATTCAGAGACAAATTTCATTTAAAAATATACCACTTGGTGGCTGGGAAGATAGCTCAGTAGAATAAGCACTTGCCTGGCAAGCGCAAGGGCCTGAGTTCAATCCCCAGTTCTGCAAAAATAAATAAAATTAAAATATACCACTTGATCTCATGCAATAAGGTAGAGTCACAACTCAGGCACAAGCCTAACACTGGAGCACCTGCATACGATGCATAAATCCTGAGTTGTATCCCTAAAATTACAAAAATAAAAATAAAAACAAAACTCCCAGGTGTATGTAAAATACTGTATAAAAGTTCCTTCGGGCTGTGTATATAATGAAAAATAAATGAATTTTGTGTTTATACTTATATCTAAGATAGCTCATTATGTATCTATAAATATTTGTATATTAGAAAAAAATCTCAACTCCAAAACACTCCTGGGCACCAAACATTTTAGATAATGGAAATTTAATCTCTATATATTAAAAAAATAACAATTATGCTGGTAGCTGCTTTTCCTATTTCTTACTAGCAGCTACTGTTTTTGTTCAAGGGGAAGAAACAAAGCCCCATGTCTTGTTCAGGGAACAAATCTGTAAGGCTCAATCTCTTCTTTCTCTCCATAGTTCTAGTAACTCATAACAATGTATACTTCCTCTCAAAGGATGATAGCCAATGACAATTAAAGATTATCATTTTTTACAGTTTTTATTTCCTAATACAAATTGCCTTCTGAAAGAGGTTAAGATAAAACTGCTTCTAAAAAGTAGCCCAGTAACACTTGTAGAAAAATATATATTATACATTGTTAAAATATGAATTTAAATAGAATATAATTTAAATAACATGCATTAACTATGACTGCATGAGGCTTTCTCTGAAACACTGACAAATTCTTTGGTGTTTGTTTATTCTTGTTTTTTGAGACAGGGTCTTGGCCTATATTTCAGGCTGGTGTCAATCTCACAGCGATCCTCCAGCCTCCCCCTCCCAAGTACTGACCTGTAGGTTTGTGTTATCAAGCCATCCCCAGCCAATGCAGACAAATTTTGAGGAAAATAACATTAACTTTCTGATACAGAAAGAGCAAACTGCAACCCTCACTAAGAGCGTGGGTTCCGTATCAGGAGTGTTCAGGCTCCATGTGCCCCATACACTACAGGAGTCCGTTTAAGGGCACTCAGCATTAGAGTGCAAGCCCAGGTCTGCTCTGTTCTGTAAGCCCTGTGTGTGGCCTGGCAGGGGCTTCACTTCCTGGTACCCAAGGCACCTTCTGTGCCATCACAGAAGCCCCACCTGGCCAGGAAGTGTGGGGTTTTATCTTCCCAAAGAAGATGGCTTTCTCTAACTTCCAGGAAACAAGCCCTGTTCAGACTTTCTATAGCTTTGCAAATCCCCCAATCATAGTGCTAAAAAAATTTACTTCCAACCCACCTATGCTTATAAAGTCCACCAAATGCTCTACTTTAAAAATGACTTACTTTGTCCCCAGATATATTTGCATTGCCTGTCCCTGGTTTTACATCTTCCTCCAAAGCAGATTCCCTAAAACACAACAGCGAATTCTCATTAGCAGTGTAGTAGCTGTTTATGTCAGATAGATAATAAAGAACATTTAATTGGGGAAAACAATAAACACACATTGTAAAAACACTTTATCTTCCAAACTGACTGCAAAACATTTAAATTGATCTTCCTGTGTTGGTCAGACTACCATGAAGGGGTGAAACCTACCTGAACACCATCACACTGGTACCCATCCATCTTATGAACATTAGGGGCACACTGCAAAACAGGAGGGAAGTGCAATATCAGGCTGGGGATCATGCCTTTTGTGTTTGCATTTTAAAAATTATGTCTGATAATACACCTCATCTCATAAGGCATTTACCAATAAAAACTATTCAAACAATCCTGTAATCCCAGCACCTCGGAGGCAGAGACAGGAGGACCGCTGTGAGTTCAAGCCCAGCCTGGGCTACAAAACAAGCCCCTGCCTGAATGAAAAGGAGCAGGAAGAAACGCAACCATTTGCACTCTTCAAATAAGGATCTATCAGAGGCAAACACAGTGGATTACACAGCAACAAAGAACAGAACTGCTGTAGCAGGTGCAGTGAGTGATTTATGTCGGGGAAGCTGCTACACGCAGACACACTGCCTCAGAGCAAGGAGGAAATGGACGCATGGGACAAAGGCAGCTGGTGAGCCCACAGGCTGGAGCCAGAACAGCTTTTACTCCTTAGCCAGGAGAAGCAGCACTGCTCTCCCACTTAAAATGATGACTGTCAAGCCAAAGTCTGGGGCCAGGGAGATGGCTCAGTAGAATAAAACCTTGCTTGGGAAGTGCAAGGGTCTGAGTTCAATCCCTGGTTCCGCCCCCCCCCCCCAAAAAAAAAAGCAGAAGTCTGCTGTAAGACTTGTTTTTATTTCATTGGTACCTTTTAGGTATACATGCTGACCACATTCATCATAACGTGCACATGGTGCCTCCTGCTTCTTTATTCCCCCTCCCCCCCTTCAATGCTTCTACCCCTCCTTATTTACAAAGCTCTGTTTCCATGTCTTTTTTATTCTTAACCCATTTCTCTTTCCCTCCTCTCCCTTCCTTGATTCTTTGTCTCATTTGAACATTTTCTTCTCATTTTTCAGTAAGTGTCATACATTGGATCCTTATTTATACTTTATAGTTTCAAGGTACATTCATTTAGCTAGAAATTTCTCAAGCTTGTCCTTTATAGCACAGCAGCTCTATTGTATTAAAAAAGAAAAAAGAAAAAACAACACATCTTCTTTATTCATTCACTGGCTGATGTGCATTGGGTTTTTTCCAAGATCTGGCTAGTAGAAACTTTGCAACTACATGCATGGGTGTGCATATATCGCTGTGGTTCCATGCTTTTAGTTCTTTCAGGAGGATACCAAGAAGGGGAATAGCTGGGTCAAGCAGGCCCTGCACTTTTAGTTTTTTGAGGAATCTCCATACTGATTTTCACAGTGATTGCCCCTGTCTGAACAACAACCAACAACATTTGTTATTGATTGATTTTTTTTTAATAATAGTCATCCTTTCTGAAGTAAGTCAGAATGTCAGAATTGCTTAATTTGCCTCTTTCCAATGACCAGGGATTCTGAATATCTTTAAAATATATTTATTTGCCATTTCTATTTCTTCATCTGAAAAGTGTCTATTCATTTCAGATGGATATTTTAGGATAGCGTCTTTCTGTTTAGGCGTCCTGATTTTTTTGAATTCTTCATATATTCTAGATAGCAGTCCTTTGTTTGAAGTACTGTTGGCAACGTTTGTTTTTTCCACACCATGGCTGTCTCTGTATTCTGTTGGTGGTTCCTCTGTGAGATCCCAGCTGTTAATTCCTTGTGATATTACTCATGTGATCGGAGTTTTGGCCATAAACTCTTAGGCTACAGCAATGTCTTAAAAATTCCACCTATTCTATCCATGAGCAGATTTAGTGTTTTTGTTTTAACATTTCGATCTTTGACCCATTTTTACATTAGTCTATTGCACAGTGAAAGACACGAGTTTAGTTTTCATCTTCAGCATGTTGAAAGCCAGTTTCCAGGACCATTTATTAAAGAGGCTATCCTCCTTCCTTTCGTGTTTGGCTCCTTTGCCAAAGATAAGATGCTTGGAAATCATCTATAAGTACTTTCAGAACTTGTATTTGAATAAGATGAAAAACACAAAAAAAATGAACAGATTCCTAGTGACATATGAATTACTAAAACTGAATCAAGAAGACATAACAATTCTAAATAAACCAGTATCGGTCAATGAAATTAAAGATGTAATTAAAAACCTACCAACAAAGAAAAGCCCAAGCCCTGACAAAGTCAGTGATAAACTCTACAGGAAATTTAGTGAAGACCTAATGCCATTATTTCTCAAATTCTTTAATGAAAGTGAAATGGAAGAAATACTCCCCAAATGGTTCCTGGAAGCCAGCATTACCCTGATACCAAAACCAAACCAAAGAAGGAGCCAACCAAGAAAGAGCAATATAGGCCAATCTCCCTAATGAACTGAGATAGAAAAAAATCCTCAATAAGACAATGGCAAATAGAACGCAGGAAGTGCTGGGGATATAGCTCAGTGGCATAGTGCCTGCTGGTACCAAAAAAAAAAAAAAAAAAAAAAAGAATGCAGCAAATCATCAAGATTATACTCCAGGACCAAATAAGGATGTAGGAATGTTTCAACAATAAATGCAATATACCATATGAATAGAGCTACAGACAAAAACCATGCGATCATCTCAATAGAGAAAAACATTTGACACGCCAGGCTCCAGGAATGTTGAGCTGGCCACCAAATCTGGGCATGGTGGCGCATGCCTGTAATACCCGCACTAGGAAGCTAAAAACAGGAGGATCACTATGAGTCCAAGCTGTGTAGTGAGACCCTATAGACCCTGTACTAAATATATACATATATATGTTAAAAATGGCAATTTTTATGTTTGTTTATATAAGGAAGAAAATGTATAGTTGTATAGTCACATGAGAAAAGTTGGGAGACATGGTGAGAAGGTTCTGTGGTTTTGCTAAATAACACAAGCCCCCAAAGCAACATGGTTTCAGTTATCCTTATCACGGTCCTGTGCATTCATTGTAATCCTGTAAGGTGCAAACTTTTGTACTAGCTTTGCAATCAACTGATCACAAGGCCAATAACCACACCCGCCATGGTCAGTGAGCCCTCCTGATCCTTTTGCCCATGTCTGTCAGTGACTGGCCACTGCCCATCTGTGTTCAGTTCACACACAGGCGGCACTGTGTGCAGCTCAGGTGCCTCTGTTTTCTGGAGATATCATGTGGTATTGTGCAAAAACGGATAGATGAAGAAGGCACTGGTCCACAGGGATGAAAATGTAGTACAGAAATGAAGGCACTAACACCAAGGGTGAAATTCAAATTGCACATAAATGGAATTAGAATAAAAGTAGCTACTACGGGATGCTGATAGGGCCGCCCACAGAGCTCCAGACAAGCACCCAAGGGACCTGGCCAAGATGGATTCACGGGCATAAGGAATGGAGTGGGTGACACATAACCAAGACATCCCAAAGACAGCAGCACTGCCAAGACACCTCACACACACAGCTCCATACCCCTTCAGCATCTCCCAACATGCAAAGAACCAAGGACAAGATGCTGACCACTGCCCCCAAAGCATGGACACAGTGCTCAGTGTCGTACCTCGAGGTTCACAATGTGAAGCAAGTGGAGTGCAAACTACTTCTAAGACTGTTAAAAAAAATTCATTGTTTCCTTTTAGTGTGTTAAATACCTCTTTCCTCATTTCTCTTCACATTTAAGCCAGTGGCAAGAGATTTTTGATAGTTTGTTGCATTTTTATGTCATTCTGTTTTGTTGTGACAGCATCTGACTGTGTAGTTCAGGCTGACCTTGAATTCAAGTCTCAGGATGCTCTTGTCTTAGCCTCCCCAAGGCTCAAATCATGTGCATGTGCTACCCTACATGATACCCAGCTTGTATGCATGTTTTAAAGATCATAGATGAACCATAATATTTTCTACTGTTTTTCGTTTGGTTGGTTGGTTTTCTTTTTCTTTTTCTTTTTTTTTTTTTTTGGATTTCTGAGACAGCCTCAATATGTAGTTCAGGCGACGCTGCATTGTTTCTGCTTATGTAACTATTTTTATAGCCGAGCGTTACTGTGCAAAGTGAGGTCTGGAGATTTTGAAACCCTCATCAGTTTCCCATTTCCCAGTATGCCTATTGACAACTAAATGCTATCAATTTCCAGGACAGCTGTAAACAGTAGAAGTGATGTGACCATCTCAGAGAGAGAAGAGCGCTCTCCTCTCAGAGCCTTGTGTGTTAGAACTCTTGTCTCCGCTGGCTTCTGTCTCACGCAGCTAAAGAGTCCTCTGCTTCTTCCTTTACTAAGTAGACAAAAACAAACTGCTTTTTACTTTGAACTTAAAACCAAAATATTTAAGACATAATTGTCATTTCAGGCTAAGTGAACATTAAAACAAAAGTATGCTTTACATCTGCTTAAGCTTTGATTACTGAATCTTTAAATACTGAGAAACAAAGAGAGATGATGCGAAAGAGACCCGAGCATCCTGTCCATTGCATTCCAGGGGCAGTCAGAGGACTAGAGGTGCCTCCACTTTTTCCTCTAGGGTTTAAGGAAACTGTTCTATACATTACCTGGCTTGAATTTCCTGAGCATGTTTCACGAATATCACAATCGTTCACTGCTTCTCGGCACACGGTCCCCATAGGCTGAAACTAAAACGAAGAAAAATCAATGCGTAAAACTGTAGAAGAAACAAAAACTCTCACAGGATCATCTTTAAAAAGAACATAAAAATGGTTTGGTTAGGAATACCTGGCACTATTTAAGATGGCAGTAGTAGGGGCAACCACAGTTATTGAACAGGATGCTATTTTTAATAGTTTTAAGAGACAGTTTTCTGTGTAGGAAGCAGCTTCCATGGTCATCACACATAAGCCTCAAATGTTCGGCTAACGTGGCATACTCCCTGACGGCACTTGCCCCTTAAGAATAATGAGTTAGTTCTAGGTCTAGTAATTTTTTTTGCCAAGTAGAATTTGGATTTGGGCTCTAGCTTTCATTCTTACTGACACTGTAATCACATAACCCCCACCCCTGGGCCTTACCTGCGAAGAATTGGGTTGAATCACAGAAGCTTGATTTTCTAACAAAGCTATTCCCTCCCAAGCTAGCATAGATTTATTTGTTTTTGGCAGAACTGGGGATTGAACTCAGGCCTTCATGCTTGCCAGGCAAGCACTTATTTTACTGAGCCATCTCCCCGGTCCTCTATATAGATTTAAATCCTGGATATTTACTCTTTTTCCAGGGTTCTTCTTATTTATACCTATCAGGGTTTTATTTTGTGTTTCTTTGTTTTCAGTCACCTCAAATATTTTCAGTAAGTGTGCAGTTCTATAAATAATTTCTCAATCTCACTGAGTCTATAAATCAAAACAGTGCTCATTATGACAAAACAGGGACACATGAAGTTATTATGTTCTCCTTCCTTCTTCAGCTACTTTATTTTCCCCTCCATAGTCTAAGGTCTGGGACCCTCCTTGGAGCTCTGGGCTCTCACAGGGGCCTCATCAGGCTCCCTTCTGAGGAAGCCACACCCTCCTCCCAGCTCAGCACCTCAGGCACTGAGTAACCTGCCACAGCCACTGCCAACTCCAGTAAGGATTTCAAAAAAAAATAGTTTTTAGGAGATGTGACATATTTACTAGGCACTCAGGATGTATCACACACTGTTGTAGTCACCAAAGACTCAGGGGCGAACAAAACACCAACGCCCTATATGGCGCACAATGAACTTGTGTTTTAATGTGGGTGACTAGGCCATAAAAATAAGGAAATAAAGTATTTTAATTTCAGATGTTCTAGTTCTCTTACTCCTTGAAAGTGGCACAAGCCACAACTTTAAAATATCAAAAATAGAAATATGAGCAGATTTGATCTAGAGTTTAGATAAAGACTATAAATATTTGAGAATTTCCAGGAAGAAAGAACAGCCGTTCTGGGATATAAGAGTAAATAAATCAAACACAATCCTTGCCCAATGTGAACAGTCAATGGGCCTAAGAAAATAATATCCAAAAAGCTAGCAGAATTTTCCCGCAGAGGTCCATAAGTTATTGACTGAGGGCCAAGTTGGCCATATCTTTGTAAGCTTTCCAGAGCACTGCAACATGCTCTTCATCCTGTGTATTCCATGGCTGCTTGCAAAGGCAGAGCCGAGTACCTGCCACAGAAACGTGTCACACCACACATTATGACCACATCCTTCATAAAAAATGTTGGCCGTCCCTGGCCTACAGATAAATCATTATAAATATGCACCAAAAAAAAAAAAAAAGATGTAGGATACATCATCTTGATTGTCAATTGCCCCTTTGCCATTGGCTACCCTGCCTCCAGCTCCCTAGGTGTCTACAGTGGGAAAGAAGGAAAGGAGATGCAGGTAAAGGAAATGGCAGAAAGGACAGTACCAGACTTGTAAGTAAGTTATTCTGTGGGACAGTAGTCATGCCATCTTATTTTAGGCTTTTAAATTTTATTATTTTGTGGCTCTTCATTGTGATAACTGTATCACAAAGAGCCTAATTATGTAGGTCAGGAAAAGAAGGGCCAGGGATATAGCTCAGTGTTACAAGTGCCTACCCGGCAAGTGCAAGGTCCTGAGTTCAATTTCCAGTACAAAAAAAAAAAAAAAATCACTATTAAAAAAAAAAGTGGGGGGGCAGGGAGATAGCTCAGTGGAATAAGTGCTTGCCTGGCAAGTGCAAGGGCCTGAGTTCAATCCCTGGTTCCGAAAAAAAAAAAAAAAAAAAAAAAAAGAAAAAGAAAACATTTACTTAAAGATGGCAGACCTAAAACATCAAGGATAGTGATAAATGACTCAGGATTCCCTGTTACAGTAGCTGTAAGAGCTGACAGAATAAGCAGTTGTTTTAGCCAAAATGAAAGAATGTCTGTTTCACATTTGGTTTAATCTTCGCTTTTTAGAGAGCATTTTCAAAGATCGCTGCCAGTACCTTACTAGTTTTCAAAAAGCCTCCAGAAGACAAGTTCCCTGTGAACTGTGGGAGAGTGGAAACAGCAGAAGGTGTGGCCAGCAGATGGGCATGTGGCTGCCATCTCACCCTGACTGGCTGGGGGCCCGTGCAGTTGGTTCGCTTCCTCAGGGCAGGGTCTCTCAATTATATAAACCAGGAGCACAAAGCACATCCCAACAGTGTCATACGAGCACTGTGTAAGACACAGTCTCCAGCAGGGGTGGCTGTCCCACAAAGGGACCTTCAACAGTGTCCGGAGATGTTTTGGCTCTGAGGAACAGGAGGGGTGTATCTAATAGGGAGAACAAAGGAATGCTGCCAAACACCCTACAATGTGTAAGACGCACCCTCCATAAAAATAATTATCCAAGCAAGAAAGTCAACAGTGAAGAAACTCAGATGTAAGATGACATAAACTAAAAGCACATAGAATAATCTCTGGCACATAGAAGACAGTATGATAGCTTCTGTTTGTTTGTTTATCTGCAAATGGTACTTTACTTAGTAGTTTATGGCACATACTGACTGCATTTACCGCAAGCATCTGCACGCGTACATAACTCAGTTTGATCGTTTTCTGTTGACCAGCCCCCATACCAGCCCCTCCAATTCTTCTTCCCTCTTCCTATTTACTAAAGCTCTATTTCTATTTTTTCTCTTCAACACTTTTTAAATCCTTTTTCCCCTTTCCTCCTCCCTCTTGTTCCATTTCTCACTTAAAAATGATCTTTCTGCTTCCTAATGTCTTTCATTCTGCTCCTTATTTATACTTTTGGTTTGTCACAAAGAGAAAAAATGTAATACTTCAACTTGTGTGTCTGATTTATTTCACTAAATATTATGGTCTCTAGATGCCTCCCATTATAGGAAAACAAGAATGAAGATACTTTATGTACAGATATCCTGTGTAAGTGCAAATGGTGAATGTTATCATTATGTTTATCTAAAATGTACTGATAAAATTACATTTTAAAAATGCATCCATTTATTTTAAATGCCTCAATTTTATCCTCTCTAGTGGAGCAGTCCTCTGTTGTATATAAATGTCTTGTTTTCTTTATCCATGTATCTGTAGATGCACATATAGGCTATTTCCAAGATTTAGCTATTATAAATTGTGTTGTTATAAATAAGGATATGCACACATCATTGTGGTATGATAACTCTAACTCTTTCAAGAAGATACCTAGGTGGGGAATAGCTAGGTCAAATGGAATTCCTAGTTTTAGGCTTTGAGGAATTTCCATACTGACTTCCATAGTGGCTATACCAGTTTACACTCCTACAAACAATGAAGAAGAGTTCCTTTCTCCCTACAGCTTGGTCAACACTTGTTATTGGTTGATTTCTTGATGACAGCCATTCTTTCTGGAGTGGGATAGAAACTGAGTGTTTTAATTTACATTTTTCTACTGGCCAGCAATGTTGAACATTTTTTCACCTCTTTATTAGCCATTTGTATTTCTTCACATGAGATGTGGCAAATCATTTCAGATACCCATTTCTTGATTGGATCTTTAAGTTTGGGGGGCCTAAATTTTTTAAGTTCTTTATATATTCTAGATATTAGTCTGAATAGTGGGCAAAATATTCTTGCCATTCCATAGGTGTGTTTTCACTCTGTTGATGGCTGTGCAGAAATTTTTAATTTGATGTGATACCATTTGTTGATTCTTGGTTCTGTTCAGAAACCCTTTGCCTATACCTAATATGTTGTATCAGTTAATGCTTACTAGAGAAACGTACTTCATGCAAGATATACAATTATACAAGAATTTACAAGATAGGCTAGCAATGTAGCCTCCACAGTCAGGTATGGAGGAGTGCAACGGGCTTGTCTGCACAGTGGAGATCCAAAGGATCCAGCTGAAGGTCTGGAGCTCACTGTAGTGTTCTGAATGAGTCAGTATCAGAAGGCTGCAGAGTCTGTGTTTGGGGCTGAACAGCCTACACTGGACACCAGAAGACAATGTCCAAGGTGATGGTGAAAACTAGCTCCTCCCAAGGAAGAGAAGTGAGCTTCCCTTCTTCATTTTCCTTTTATACCATTCATATGACAAGCCTACCCAGAATCAGTCTTTTGTCCTTATTAAATCCCCTCAGGCATACCCAGAACTATGCTGATCCAATTTAGTTGGTTATCTCTTACTCAAATTGACACAATCAATAAGTTATGACCTATATCTTCAAGAGTTTTACCTATTTTATCTGCCTGCAGATCAAATGTTTCCATTTTATATTTAGATCTTTGATCTATTTTTAGTGTAGTACATGGTGAAAGTTCTGGGTCTATGTTCAATTACCAGCATATGGGTAGCCAGTTTTCCCAGCACCATTTATTAAAGAGGCTATCTTTCCTCCAGTGAAACGTATTTGGCTCCTTTGTCAAAGAGAAGGTAGCTGAATGTATCTGAAGTTATTTCTACATTGTCCACTCTGTTCCACTGATCCACAAATCTGTTTTGATTTTTTCCAACAGCATAATGTCTTTGCTTTGTAGTATAACTTGAACTCTGGGACTATCATGCTCCCTGCCTTGCCCTTGTTGCTCAAAAATTGCCTTTGATATTCTAGGCTTCTTCTAACTTCATGTGAATTTTAGAATTGCTTTCTCTATTCTATGAGGAATACTACTAGTGTTTTGATTGGGGTCGCATTGAACCTGTATAAGGTTTGTAAGTATGGCCGTTTGCACTATATTGGTTCTGCCTATCTAGGAACAGGAGATATCTTTCCCTTTCTAACATCCTCTTCGGTCTCTCTTTCCAGAGTGCTGTCGAGGCCTTTTACTTCCTTGGTTAAGTTAATTCCTATTTCATTTTTCTTGATGCTACTATAAAAGGCATCTTTTTCACCTTGGTGAGTTTGTTACTTCCAAGAGAGTATTATTTAAATTCCATGTGTTTCACAGTTTCTGTAGTGTCTTTTGACACTGATTCTCAATTTCATTGCACTATGGTCTGATAATATGCGTGGAATAATTTCAATTCTTATGTATTTACATAAACATGCTTTATGGGCTTGTGTGTGGTCTACTTTAGAGAAAGTGCTATGTGCTGCTAAGAAGAATGCATATTCTGTTGTTGAATGGAACACTCAGCAGATATCTATTAAGTTCATTTATTCAAAGCTTTGGTTCAACTCTGATATTTGTTTGTTGATTTTTATGTAGTTGGTCTGTCCCCTTGTGATACAGGGGTATTAAAGACTCCCATAGCAATTGTACTTGTGCTCTTCCAATTTTTAATACCCATTAGTTTATTTTATGAAGTTGGTGCACTGGTATTTGGTCTATAAATATAATTGTTAACTTTCTGTTGACTTGTATGCTTAATCAATATGTAATATCTTTCTTTGTCTCTTCTGATGAATCTTGGGCTTGAAATCCACTTTATCTGCTATTAGGATAGCTACACCTGCTTTTGTCTAGGTTTATTCTGCATGGAATACTGACTTTCATCCTTTGATTGACTTTCACTCTATGGATTTCATTTTGGCTAAATGTATTTCTTGCATATAGTATAGTATTGTGTTGCATTTCTTGATCTAGTCTGCTAATCTGTGTCTTTTGATTGGTGAACTGAGATCATTCCACTTGATGATTGTAACTGATAGGTACTGATGGGTTGCTGTTATTTTTATGCTGTAGATTTCCTTCCTTTCTCTTCTACCTAATTGCTCACTCACTCTGTTCGATTTTTATCAGTTCTGAAAGATAATTTTTGGTGATATATCACTCTGGGTTGCAAACTCATTTCTTATAGGGCTTGAAACACTTCACTCCAAGCTCTCCTTTACTTTAGTGTTTGTGATGAGAAGGCTACTATAATTCCGATGGATTTTCCTTTGTAAGTGATTTGTCTGTTTTCTCTAACAGCTTTTACAATTCTGTTCCTGGGTTTAACTTCTAGAATCTTGACTATGATATGTCTTGATCTGTTTGAAACCCACCCAGAGGCCTGAGTGTTGGGCTGACTCTGGCAGTTCACAGCTATTCAGCAGAGACAAAGATGTATCCACAATTGTTGTGGGGTACAATATGGAAACCCAGTGCACTCAAGGAGGGAATAGGGTGCCTGATGCCAAATGGGGGCTCCCCAGGCCTGGGTCATCAGGCAGAGACTTATATGAGCCTGGGGTGCTCAGTGGAGACCCAAGCTACCTAGGACTGGAGCTGTACGCCAGATAGACTCTGGGGGTCCAGTGAAGGCACAGGACAGTGAGCACTGGGTGGAGACTCAAGAGATCTCATCGTACTAGGCATAAACTCAAGTAGGGCCAGTGTAGTGCTAGGTGCCATATGGAGGTCCTGCCAGGCCTCCATCTGTTCTATAAAATGTACATAACTGAAACAGACCAATGTTAAATCTCAGAAACAACATAGGGTGTGACATCAGGTATTATATAATAAAAGAAATGGGGAAAAAAAACAACTGAGTTCTTCAGCAAATGTAACCCCTAAACATTATTCTTGATGTGAAAGTTTAAATATCTGAAAACAAATGCAAGGATACTGAGAGAAACAGAAGCAGTCTCAGTTCCATGCACAATAAAACATGCAACACAGTACCATGGTTAAAGTGTATCTTTTATTTCCTCAACAACAAATGAAAGAGATACATCAAGCTGAACAACAAGAAGAATCTACCAAACATCCACCTGGCTTGACAAAGAAAAATACTGCATACTTGGTTCAAAGATTAGTAACACCAAATCATTTAATGTGCTTGCCTCTAAGGGAGGCCGGATAGAAAGAATGGCCCTGAAGACTGACAGGGTTCAGGCCCAGATCCCTGACTTACTTCATACAATACCTTGGGCAAACCACCATTGGTTAGAAAAATGATGGTAAGCATACTTCCTAAGATATTGCAGAATCTTGCCAGCATTTAGTTATTTGGATGCTATGATTATTACATTCTCTTTGCCTCGCCTTAGCAGTGTAATCACACGTTCTCTCCATTCATTTGTCACTGGTTAACTTTTATTTACCTTGCACTTTTGACAGCAGAGCCCATCACTGCACTGCGAGTCCTGAGTCAACGTGCATTTCTTACAACACTCTGCCCCTTCAAGGACACATTCCTAAGGAAAGCAAGCATTTGCAGAACATCAGAGTGGTGTCATTTTCTTTTAACTTCCTAAGAGTACCAACTTTCAAAACTAAGTGTATAGATTCACAATAATGAACTTTCAGCCACAAATTCTACAAAGTTTCAAACATAACACTTGCCCTGTACCACTGAGTGTATGGACCTAGAAAGATCCTGAGTTACCCAAAAGCCATCTTCAAAATGACCAGAGACTTACTGCAGAGGTCCCACAATCACACTCCTCTCCAGTTTCAATGAAGCCATTGCCACACTCGGGAGGGTCAAGAAGCTGTGGAACAAAACCAGAGAGGGAACTGAAATACAGACAAGTCAACAGCAACGGCCCCAGAGACCTAAGAGCCACACCTACATTCCTGGCATAACTCCAGTCATCCCAAATATATTTTTATTTATCTAAACTGAAAGGCGTGACTTTTAGAACTTAGAAATTTATAAATGTCCACTTGTACACTCATGTTTAATACATGTATACAGCTTCACATCTATTTACATATATAACATACATACAAAGTAGGGCTGGGTAAATGGAACTAAAATAGGAAGAACATCTAGGCACTGACTAAAACCACACCCAACAAATTCCTGAATTTGATTTCAGTCAAGAGCAAGCAGTTTGGAGTCAGAATGTCCAGATTAAAATCTTGGCACAGGCCGTGGGAGTGGCTCCCCAGCAGAGCATGTGCTTAGTTTTTGTGAAGTCCTACATTCAATGCCCAGAGCCAAAGTAAAATAAAATAAAATCTTGGCACAACTATTTAGGCATAAGAATAATACCAGCTATTCGCTTAGTGTTCCAAAATTGTGAGGATCAAGTTTAATCATCTGCGAAAAAGTCTTTATTAACTATATTTTCTTCTTAAATTTATTTTATAGACATAAAAAGCATCACAGAAATTAATGTGTCCATTGATTTATTTAATATAAAACACAGTACCCACATACCTTCATGGAGAATGCCAATAATAATTTGTGTCAGAGATTAGAGCAATTATTGGTCTGTCCAAGAAGACATTTTAAGTCTATTTTACTAACTCTCCATCAATTTTACTATGCTTTGAATATAATTTATCTTATGGTAATAGACAAAATTAATAAATAATTGCTATTAGCTACATATATAATGCTCAATCAAAAATGTAAGTTTGCAAATGACAGAACAAAGGTGTAGACATCCATATAAAAAGATATACATATACTTTTATAACCAAATAGGAGCAAAAAGCAAAACAAGATAAAGAAAACAAAAGAACTCCACTCATTTTATCTATATTCTATTACTTCAGAACAGTGCAAATATCCAATATTAAAGTTGATTTTGAAAATGTATTAGCCCATTGAGAACACATACTGAGAAGCCAAATTGAAAAGCTTTTGTGTGTAGACCCAATAGCAAAAATTTGTATGTATAGCAACTGGGAAGATTAATAATTAACAACTCTGGATCGGACACATTACCTTAGAAGGTTTATTGAACAGGCAGGCCCCACCTCCACTATTTAGGAAGTCATGATACTCTTCAATATTACACTGGGTGAACTTTTTGGGTAGATAATAGCTGTAGGAGAGCAGAGAATCAAAAATTGAGTAAAACATTGGTGTCCTTTTTGTATTAGTCTTAAAAGTGAAGATTAAGATTATATATTTTTCATTAAAATGAAAGAATTCCACTTAAGTACAACATCTGTATTCATCCTATAATAAAAACTGCATTCACTCATTACATTTCTTTTTTTTCTAACTCATTACATTTCCATGTTCTTCCAGTACTAATGATAAATATGAGTTGTTCACTATTTATAAATGTATTTAAAGGAAACACACACATAGCATACCTATAAATTAAATCAAGGACAGTTAGAAAGATCTTTTTAAAATGAGTTTTAAATAATAAATCTGGGCCAGAACCCAAAGAGCAGGAAATTCTACAAAATAACTGACCTACATCTATAGGCCTGTCAGGTCATAAAACTCAAAGAAATTTAAGGAACTATTCTAGTCTAAAGGAGGGTAAAGATGTAAAAACTAAAATGTGATCCCTCATTCTGAAGCTTTTGTTATAAATGACATTCTTAAAATACAGCACAGTCTTGAGTGAGAGCTAAGAATTTAAGATTTGACTGGTTGCATTAGAGTTATATAAGAAGGTGGTTTGGGTTTTAGGAAGTGCACCTAAGGAGTTTAAAAGGGCACAAAGTTAGCAGTGCATGACTCAGGGGACAAAAATGATCTTCGCTATTAATTTTGCAATGTTTGCTCAAGTTTGAGACTGCTTTAATAAAATGTATACCAAAAAAAGTGCAAGACAGTCAAGAAAGTAAGGACACTTTAAGAACAATTAAAATACGTCTATTAGGCATCTTCAAAATGTGCACACCGTTAGATTTAGTACTGTACTTTGAGAAATTTTTCTTATGAAAATAAAAAGCTATGTGCACAAGATATGTACACCAAGTATTTATTAGAGCATAATTCATATCAGCAAATAATGACAATAACCCAAATGTTGTACAGTAAGAGAATAAACTATGGTATGTAAATAAAATGGCATACCATGGGGTTATTAATAATCATAGCACTGAAGAACAGACTTAGAAAGTGCTCACTATATAATATTAACTATGAACTGAACAAATAATTACATATCTATCCTAGAGCAAATTTTATAAAACAAAAATAAAAATGGAAAGAAAAGTTACTGCATTAAAATACACGAATACCTTAATACTAACCAGGAGTGATAGTATTTTCTGTATCTTTCTAAAACTACTTTTTGGACATTTATTAAAAGAGAGGATCGATACAATAAGGACTAGTTTTTATAAAGCATCACCATCTAGTCTATAAGGACTGTGTCCATTTATAATTTCTATTTCTGCCTAGCACAGTGCTAACAAGTCAATTTATAGAATTCATAACAATTATTAACCTTAAACTCATTTTTGAGGCATTTCATGTCCAACCATCCAAATAAAGTTGTCTTGAATAGGCTGTCCATTGTATTTATTTCTTTCATTCCCTTGTCCTAATATGAAATACAAATTTTATTCTTAATTTAACAGCTTCCATATTTACTTCCTTTTTCCTTTCAATGACCACCCCTAGTTGATGATCTATTCACTGTCCTCTCTAATCCATCATAAAAAAGTTTTAATCAAAACATCCAATGAATATTTAAATTTTTAAAAACACATTACAAATAAAGGCACACTGCCATTAGTCTTCCTTAAAACATTCCTCCTCAGGGCCGGTGAGATAGCTAAGTGGATTAAGTGCCTGCTTAGGCAAGCACAGGGGCCAGGGTTCAATCCCTGGCACCACGTTCCCCGTCAGCCCTGCCCCCAGGTGCACTAAGTCCAGGCTTGGTGGCACTAGCCTGTAATCCCAGCAGGGGAGACTGAAAACAGGCGGATCACTACGAGTCTGAGCTGTGTAGTAAGATCCTGCAACACACACACACACACATACACACACACAAATTCCTTCTCACTGTGAACCCACTTACCCCATTTTTCCTGTAACTTTCCATAGCAGATCTGGAATTTCTCTCTCATTGGTGTCTTCAGGGTGTGATAGAAAATATATGACTATTGCTGCCAAGTGCCAGTCATTAGACAGAAAGTTTTACACACATTACAGTGTGTCCCCATCTATCTCCACTAGATATGGCACCATGTCACTTCTAGCTGCTCCTTGAAGTCATTGAAGTCATAATGACCATGAAACATAAATATTTTTAATCAACTCAGGACACTGAAGTTCCACAACAGTGCAGCTGAAGATGTTCAAGAAAGAGGACTTCCAGATCACACCGATATGGATATAAAAATGTGCCTCGTGTGCGTACATATGTACATATACACATATTCTTTAGTCTACTGACCAAAATCTGAGACGAATCCCTGTGGCAACATTAGTAAAAAGTCACTAGCTCTCCCTGCAAGAAACCTGGATGTCAAATCAAATCTGACCTCTTCCCTGAAAAGCTGGCTGCAAGGATCACAGCCCCACTTGCCTCCTGAGCATGGCAGGGCAGAGAGCTCCCTCTGCTCTCCCTCAGGGGGCAGTAACAGAACACCCATGACACCCAGGAAGCACTGTCTACACGTAAAGAGCTGGTGTGGGGCGGGGGGGCGGGGCAGGGCTCTTCCTTTTATTTCACCACATCTGGCTTCCTGGAACTTCTACACAGAGCTGTTCTTAACTGAATCAAAAACCTCATTCCACTGCCACAACATAGCCCTTCAAACATCTAAAGGCAGAGTCTTTCCCCTTCTTCTGCTCCTAAACTACTGTTTTTCAGGATAACACCTATTATATTCATTATATCCTGAAAATTTTAACTTTTAGGGCCAGGGATATAGCTCAGAGGAGTAGGTGCCTGCCTGTCAAGTGCAAGGTCCTGAGTTCTATCCCTGGTACCACAAAAATAAATAAATAAATAAATAAATAAATAAACTATAATAATAATAACTTGTATACCTTTAAATAAGACTAATGGTATTCATTCTAACCATGGTTCCCAACATTTAGCAGTATAGAAAAACATCAGAAAGCAAAAGTGAGAGGAAAGGTACCCACAAGAACACGTATCTATAGTTAGTACCATTAGGCAGTGTCATAAATCAAACTACAGAGTCAAGCCAGATAATATTTTATATAAAGTGTTTTTCTCTTGTTTGAATATTTTGAGAGAGAGACAGGGCTTTGCTAAGCAGTTCAGGCTAGCCTTGAGCTCACTTTGCTGTACAGGCTGCCCTCAAACTAGCAGCACTCCTCCTGCTTCAGCCTACTGAGTGCTGGGATTACAGGTATGCACATCCAGCTTTGCTTGCTTCTAGTTCATGCAAAAAGAATTCCAATGTAATGAGCTACAAACATCAGAAGATGGCCATTTGATTTTGTTCTGAAGTATGCTTAGAGCTATGCAGATTGTCCATGAAAATCGTATTAGCCAGAACAATCAGATGGTAAGTGACTTTTAAAGGACAAGATCTCTCATGTTAAATTTAGTAATTCTTAGAAAATTATAACTATATCACTTCCTTTCAATATTAAACAAAATTTTCAAAGAAATTTTGAAAAATATTTTATATATGTATATCACCTCCATCATTTACTCTCATTGTCAGACATAACCTGAAAACTCAAAATTCAAATCTAACCCACAAATACATATTGAAAATCAAGTCTATGGTCTGAGGCATAAAATGTAAATTATTATAAACTGTAATCCCTTAAAAATGTATAATTAAATAACAAGATGAAAATAAGTACATGCAGAATTAAAGTGTTAGGCTGATGTTAAAAATTACAGTAAGCCTTGTTAGAATAAGCTCTGTTAAATAATAACTATAATAGGTTAGAAGTGTGATTTCATAGAGGAAAATGGAGAAAACATTTCAGAGAAAAACAACATATTCAGGAGCTAAAATGTTGAAGGTTCACATATAATTACGATGAGCAAAAGTTTTAAGAAACCAAAAATCCAGGCAGGACTATGGCCAGCAAATGAAAAACTATTTGAAACCAATATACATTTACAGTTAGAAAACAGATCAGCATCACAGAGAAAATGAGATTGCAACTGAGGACAAAAAAGATTACGGACATGTAAATACTGGAGTAAGAAATGTGAAGCCTGTTCTTTACACAAGCCAGACCTGCCCAAGTTCTGAGCAGGATAATGGCTTTAAAGTGCAAGCTACACTGGCCATCCTCAGCATAGATTTATCTCACAAACACAGTGCTGGTCAGAAAGACACAGTACTCTACCTACAGTACGATGCCTCTTATATAAAATGGAAACACATTCTTGGGGTTTTTCTCTAATGGTACCCTGGATCTTCAATGATCACAGGTGGGACATTCGGAAGATGATTAGATTAGGGGACATGAGAGCTGACTTGCTGTCAGGCAGCAGGGTCTTGTCAGAAGAGATGGGTAACAGGGCTAGGGGGTGGCCTGGAAAGGCCTACTGTGCCCCCCTTCCCCACTTCTCCCTTCACTCTCCGCTTCCTGTTGGCCATGGCAGGATCAGCTCTCTTCCACCACGCCCCTCTGCCAAGCTGGCCTGCCTCAGAGCTGGCGGACTCTGCCAGACCTGAAACTTCTACGATGTAAACCTCTCCTCCTTCAAGTTCTGTCAAGTATGTGTCCCAGCAATGAGGGAAAAGGACAGACAGACAGACAGACAGACAGACAGACAGACGCCCTCCAAACAGTAATATGAACCGCACACCAGGTCATGGTTCCTTGGCTGGGACTAGGGTACACTGCTATAAGGGAGAACATGATATAAGGAGCATTTAACCATGGAGGCAATGTTTTTACTTTTCAAAACTGAGTGAAACAAATATTCATTGGTTTAGTCTCTCTACTTTTTCATGATGATAAAAAATGGGGCTCATAAGGGGAAAGAAAGCCTAAAAGCTGAATGTTTCAAATGTTACTGAATTAAAAATAGCACAGGCTGATGAGGGTTGAAAGTCAGGTAACAGTAATAATCCTGGAAAAAAAATTCATTTAGAATAAACAAAAGGTAAGAGCTGATGGCTGCTGGTGTGGGAAGGTGCACAGTGTGGAGGAGACAGCCTTGCTGAGGACAAGTTGTACAGCACACTGTGAAGCCAGTGGCAGCAGCCTGCTCTCAGCCTCTGTGGGTGGCACACACGTGCAACTCGGAGAAAGCTGCAGAACGAACGACACTGCTTTCCTGGCTTTGCTTTTGAGAGTCAACTTAGCGGTACACTACTGCCTAGTCCCCATTCAACCAGAATTGAAGGAGAAAAAAAGATACTAGAAAGTAAACTGTAAGCCAAGGTGGTGAACCTATGGCATACATGTTGTTTTTCTTTTAAGACAAAACATGTTAATTTATGAGTCGGTTTTTCTAAGCCAAAACCTCAGCACTCACCTTGAACTGCAGGGCTGGCACTGTGAGATACATGGGTAGGTTTTGGCTTGCAGTTTGGGCACTTGTCTGTAAGTGCTCGCCATCACTGTGTAAACCATCAAAAACAAACTTGCTTCTCATTTCTTACATTTCCAGGCTAGATTCAAGGCTTTCAAGTCACTTAGGGGTCTGGGGAGATAGCTCAGTGGTCTAAGTACCTGCCTGATAAGTGCAAGGACCCAGATTCAATCCCCGGCACCGCTTGCCAGGCTCCCTGGAATCTGAGTGCTGGGAGACTGAGACAGAAGGATCACTACAAGTCTGAGCTGTGTAGTGAGACCCCATTCCAAATAAATAAATAATTTTTTAAAAGTCACTTAGATCTACTAACTTGACACCATTTTTTTCTTAAATAAGAGTGTACTTTACTCCAGATGTGGTAGAACACACCTATAATTCTAGCATATAGGAAAGCCAGTCTGGGTTACATAGTCAGTTAAAGGTCAGCTTGGACTATTCAGAAAGACTAAATCTCAAAAAAAAGAGCTATTTTCTGAAAATGTTTATATACAGAATCATTAAAAACGTTTACTTTTGATTTTCTCATAAATGCTATGGGAAGAGGCCATGAACTGTTATTAAGTATTATATTTCTAAAAAGACAACAGCACAGCAGACAAAAAGCAAATTATTTTCAACTAGAAATGGCTCACCCAGTGTCTCCCATTATGCATCCGGACCACGTGTCCTCACATTTACACTCACCTATAAGAAAATGAATACATACACCTTTTTATAATGTGAACACAGTTGTACTGGTTTCTATGTTTAAAAATATGACCTTCACTTTACTTTAAGATACTTACTAAAAAAAAAATGTAATACTTGCTTTCTAACTCTGCTCACACTTTAAGTTTTTATGCAATTATAACCACAAAAATACACTTTGACCCTATCAAGTTTGTATCTTTCAATTAAAAAAAATTCTCTGATATTTTAACAAATGGCCAAAATTTTTAGTCATTCACTTAACATGACTTAAAGAAAACCAAAGACCAATGAAACAGGGAAGAAGTTTGTGCTCCACAGAATATCAGTTTCGCAGGCCTTGCAGGACATTATTACAACATTTTGCACACTTTTCAAACCCTCTGCACCAAGACTGAAAGAAGTAGACTACACAGAATTAAGCAGGAGGACCTCAGCTTCAGGAACACCTGCATTCAAGCCTTAGTTTGCACATAACATATATGTGATCTTGGAGCCATTTTATTTAATATCTGGTCAGTGCATCTACAAGATACATCTAAAAATGGTATGATTATCTTTAGAGTTAAAAAAGAATCTAGGAGCTGGGGAAATGGCTCAGTAGAATAAGCACTTCCCTGGCAAGTGCAAGGGTCTGAGTTCAATCCCCGGTTCCACAAAAATAAATAGATAAATAATAAATAAATAAATAAAAAATATGGAGAATCTAGATGTAGGTAATATACTACACATTCATCTGTCAAATAAGAGTATTCTAGAATTGGTAAGTTATTATACATAACCATGCTCATAAATTTACCAAACTAATACAATGCTATAATCAAATTGTTACTCTAAATACCTAGTATTTGACCATTCATAGTGAAGTAACTGCATAGTTGGAAAATACAGTCTTCACAAATGTGAAACTTAGCACTATCACATGGTCCACATATCACTAAGTGCACCAGGAGATTTGATCCTAACAAGGAAATTATACCTCTGTGGCCATACATTTTAAATAAACCTAATAAAACATTTCATCTGAAATAAATGCCTAGAATTCTCTATTAGACCTTTTCAAATTATCAAAATAAATTCTCATTTTTCCCCTTCTTAAATCAAATTCAACTCTGAATTTACTATCCTATGGCTTTAAATTTTATTACACATGTAGAATTTTTCATCTGTAATATAGTTATTACATCTGATAACAACATTTTGTGCCCTGGCTTATTCATTTTATATCATTTCCTATATTCTTTTGATCAATCAACTGAATCAAAGAATCTCATTCTACAAAATACTTAACAGAGTCTACTTTAAATACAATTGAAACCATGTGTACCATAACTTACCACTGGCTAACTTTCTTTTGTCTGAGATAATGCCAATATTATGGGCTAATGACTGAGCAAGTGTAACAGCCATTAAATCAGTTTTTCCAAACTGAAAAAGAAAAATAATATACATATATATAAATGCAATTACCATTAAAGAATAGTTAGAGAAAGGTACAATAATATATTTGAAAATAAATAATTTCTATGCATTTGCTTTAGCAGAAGCTAACCACACTGTAGCCAGTACTAAATTACATTTGGGAAGTAGTTGTAAGAAATAAATTCATGTTGGATTACATCTTTAGAATAAATTTAAAAAATGAATAATGCAATTTTGCATTTAAAAGCTGAAATATAATCTCTCAAAATTTCCTCCATAACATTACTGAAAAACATAGTAGTTGTATATGATTAGGCTAGTCTTCTGAATAATACAAAATAAAAATTAATGTCAAAAGCTTATTTGGAACTAGTTCATCTCTATGCGTCCATTTGTACTCCTAAAACTTCCTCCAAATGCAACAGAAGTAGCGCAACAAAACAAGCACATGATCAACAGGACGCAGTGAGGGTTATGGCCGATACACACTTCAGAACTGAGGATCCTCTCAGATAGTCAGGTGTTTTTCCTTTAGATCATTTCCAGCAAATTTAGAGTGTTAAGGGCAAAAAGAGCCTCTCTAGAAAACCTAATGGATTGTTTTTTCTCCTCAAAAATTTGTAAAATGCTGAAGAAAGAAGAAAATATCTCATTGGGTTTTTAGGGGCAACCAAGGGCTCCAAGGAATTACTCAATTCTCTGGAAAATCCTTCAAAGTGACAAACAGGACCTTCTTTTCAAGAAAGGTTAAGGTACACATTCTCTATATAATATGTAAATTATTTCCTTTGACAATTATTCTAACTAGAACATGACCAGAATTATCAGGTATTATCTTTCATTATTTATCTACTCTATTTTCTGGACATGTGTAGTAAACATATTGGTAGCTAATAAAACATTCTAATATCTGGTGTCATGGAATGTTGAGAAATTATACTAAGTATTAGGAAAGCCAAGATATCACTTTGCATTGTACAGATGTTCACACCTACTTCATTCACGCCTCCTCCTTTCAGCAATGAGCAAATCCCACCAATATAAGCTGCCCCGCTCCGGCTACTCTCAAATTGGCTCCCCCTTTTAGAAAAGGAAAAATGGAAAGTACTTACTATTCACAGTTCAAACATAATATCAACCTCAAACTGAGTTATACATATTTTTAAGTTGCCAATACGATGAACTATGAGAGGTATATAATATCACTTCTATACTATCTATCAAAAATACATAACTTGAATCTTGTAATGAGAAAAGAACAGATATTCCTACAGTGACCAGAGGCTGATAAAATAATCAGCCTATGCTCTTCAGAAATGTTAAACTGAAAATAAAGAAAAGCTGAGAAAATCTTTCAGATTAGAGGAGACTACAGAGACATGATGATTAATCAGAATGTATGATAGTGAATTAGTTGTTGGTTGGGAAAATATTAGCAATAAAAAGTATGATTGACTGAGATAATTGGTAAAATATAAGTGTAGAATACAGATTATATAATAGTAACAAGTCAATGTTTTATTTTATAGTTTAATAATTTACTGTGATTGTACAAGAGAATAAATGTATTCTTAGAGAATACACATTCAAATATTCAGTAAGTAAGAATCCAATAGATTGACAGAAATATGGAAGGAGGGAAAAAGGAGGAAAACCATAAAATAAATGAGGGAAAATGCAAATAATTAATGGGTCTTAGTGAAGGGCATAGGCAATTTTCCTGTAATATTCTTATAACTTTTCTCTAAATCTGAAATAATATAAAATCTAAAAGTCACCCCCAAAATATTTTTTCCTTCAATTAAAACTATCATTAACTGAGAACTTTAGGTGACCAATTTTTAAAATGCTGTAATATATACTTTATTACATCAAATATGTAAATTACCCAAAAGAACAAAAGAGAAAAAAAAATAAGCTCCAGAAATGTAACTCTTAACTTAAAACCAAAATCAGAAAGTTCACTAATATTTAAAAGACAGACCTCAAAGAGTATTTATCTATGCTAAAGAATACCCCGTGATTCCCTGGCAAGCGCAAGGGCCTGAGTTCAATCCCCAGTTCTGCAAAAAAAAAGACTACCCCGTGAGTAGGAGCAGTACTTCCATTTATCCAGTACATGCACTAATTAAGTCTCTTAAAGTGAAACAAACATACAACAACAAAATAATTCAAGTCAAATTACAGAGATTTTCATGACAATTTCAAACAATCTATACCATAAAACTCTCTCATTGACATCCTGAAATGTCAAAACTTAACTGCATCATCTAGCAGAAACAAACATTCACAATATAGAATTCAACATGGAATCAAAAAAAGTAATAAATCATTATGAAGGTTACGTACGAAAAAAGGTGAACTGCATCACTTTTCTCTTTGATAAAATCCCTCCTGTATTTCATAAACTCACGTAGGGTAATCAATGGATTTTCAGATATGGCAAACTTGTTGTCAGCTGCCCAGGTTTCCATGGCAACCAATACTATTCTTGTCTTAAGTTGGTCTTTATATATCTAGTACATTAACAGAATGAACACAACAACTGTACATATAGTAAAAGCAGATGGTTTATGAACAGGACTGCAAAACTCCTAAGAGAAACTCCTCCAGTTGTAATTAAAGGTAATAAATGTTACTGTTCTTAAAAAGCACAATTAATATTTTAATTTGTACACATTTCCTTTAAATAACAGAAATTCACGTGGTTTATGAAGCAATACCCAAAGAATAGAACACGTTTTAGAAACAAATGGTCCATGACTCAAGGAAAAAAGTACATAAGTAGGGGGAGGGAAACAGAACTATCATTCTTTATGGATGACATGACTATATACATAGGAAAAATACATTTTAAAAGCAACATTACTTACAATAACACGTAAAGTTTCAGACACCTAGGGATAAATCTGGAAAAGCCAAGGGAAGAGATTCTCTCTTAAAAGACTTTAGAAGGAACACAGTCCTGCTGACATCTTGCTTTCAGGACTTCTGACCTTCAGAACTGATAATAAATGTTTTGTTTTAAGCCACAAAAAAAAAAAAAAGAAAAAAGAAAAAAAAAAGAAATAAATGGCCCCTTTTGGACCAAGTCAAGGCTGCCCGGAGTCTACTTTTTAATAGCCTAAACAAAAAAATTAATTCCTTTTTCAGAAACCTGGCCAAAAATGGACCAATGAAGACTCTTCATGGAAATACATAGTTTCGATATAACCTGAGTAACTCTGATTTACCTCCTGGGGTGGGCACTGGCACTGACCATGCTATGAAAGGAGGTACAGTGTGTTTATGTAAGATTATCACTACCAGCACTAGGCACTCTTTGAAAAAGTGTAAGTGCTGCAGGATTTCTCGCTCACTAGAAGGACAATGTAAGTATTTCTATTAGGGGCTACAACTTATCTTTTGTCTTTTGCAGTTTGCTAAACACAGAAAGGAATTCAGACAAATCTATGACAACTTTCTCTCCCAGAGAGAGATCAAAATCAATAAAGTCCATTGCCAGGTCACCAGGAAACCTTGGCTGAAAAGCAACTCAGTCATAAAGTATAACAACTGTAAATTTTGCACAAACCAAGCTTATGGCCTTACAAAGTCAAAGAATGAAATCAAAAAGCAAAAGGAAGAAGTTAGGAGAGGTTTTTTTTTTTTTTTAAAAGAAAATGAATTCAAAATAAACCAATTATTTTGCATTGTTATGTCTCTCTAGGTCCTGGAGACAGGGAGATGCTGTCAACTCACTTAACACTCTCAGAAGAACCTTTCTTCCTGGAAGGAAAGGTCCTTATCTATCTAATTTATTCTAACCCTTTATCTTTTGTTCTGGTGGTTTTGTTTTTCTTTCTCTAAGCTTAAGTAGCTGCTTGAATTAGCTCCTAACTGGATATGGTTATTTTCTTTTATCTGACGATGCTGCCCAACTTCCTGTCAAAGATTTAGTAACTAAACAGTACAGTATTAATCTTTCTACTAGTAATCTAGAGATATAAATTCTTCTAGAGCAATACTGAATCAAGTCAATACTTACTAAATCTGCCATGTTCACCACAGATTTTGCATAGGTATTGGTATGGACAACAGAAAGTCGATGCTTTTTGAACTGAAAGCAAAAGAGGACAAGTAAAAGCTTTCAAAGTAACTAGGAGACAATTATCTCAGCAGAGAAAGCATGCTGAAGAAGGCTTTAATGTCCCAGAGGCTTTCTGTAAAAGATGTCAGAACTAAGACTTAGTTTTTTATTAGCCCTGGAGCCTGAAGCAAGGCTCTCAAAAGCTTGAGACCTCAAGACATACAATAAAAAGTATTCACTTGTTCCATTCCACAGGCTCATTCTGTTCAAGATTGTTATTCAAAATAATAAAACAGATGAGAGCTATAATTGCAAGACATACAAATCTAAGTAGGGATAGGTCACCAATAATGAATGTGAACCTTGCTAAAAGTATGAAAGTGAAGGTTATGACAGATTTATTGAGTAAGAACAAAACCCTACTATAAAGTTTATGCTACACATGAATCACAAATATCTTTTATTTGGCTGCAGCGGTGTTTAAAAAATCAGGATCAAAACAACAAGAAATAAAATAAAATGAAATAAAAAATCAAGATTGTGATTCTGACTACATTTAAAGGAGTAGCCCCACTTGGAGTAACCGGCAAGTGCTGCGAGGCAGCTGCACCCCTGAAACTCACCACATGTGGTCCTCTCCCGCAGACCTCGCTCCTGCGGTGTTACGCCTGGTTCACTGCTCTCACGTCATCTGCATGTGTCTATAAACACCTCAATGTATAGCAACCTAAAGCGCTCAAAATATATGTGCTTGTAGAACCTCTGTCAGTGTCAGCCATGTGGATGAGTCACGGCCATTGCTTGGCCAATCTGAGGTACAGGATCTCAGGATAAATCCTGAGGGCATTTCACTGACCTTCTCAGACCCAAAAGCTACAACTCTTGTTGCATAGGTCCTGCTTTACCTTGCTCTTAACCATCCAGTAGAAAAGTATGAAGACGAAATATAGGAAGTAAAGCCATGCTGTTATGTTGAGCTGTGGGGGACTCAGGTCAACAATTTCTGACATTGCCAGTTAAACAGAAGACCCAATGCTATTATGGGCTACTGGACTCTTTTAGAATATTTTGCTGAGTTTACACACCTATAATATTCAATAATGGAACTTAGAAAAAATGGGGTATACAGATGAATGTCCATTTTGTATCTGTGTATTCAAAGTGGTTAGGATAGATATATAGTTGCATTCTCTTAATGAATAGAATGATTTGTTCTAATGGTGTTTATAAATAGGATCTCAAGTCCGCATCTTGTACAGCAATTAACCACTAAGAAGAATGTATGCAGTGTGTTAATTATTGAAACTGTCCTAGCGATTTGATTTGAAACTGTCTCATTGCTATTTGTTTATCAATAAAATTATGAAAAAAATAAAAAATAAAATATATATATATATATATGTGTGTGTGTGTGTGTGTGTGTGTGTGTGTGCTTGCCACTTATTCTTATTTATATCTCAAGGAACAAAAACAGTCATGGATTCAAACAGGTAGGAATAAAATAGCCCTAGCGTGAACAAGGACACATCAATCAATCCTATAAGCAACAATAATATGGAGGATTGACCTCATCTATTTAATCAAATGTAAATGACACATTTTCACTCTAGCAAATCACCCAGTATAAATTGAAATGCACCTATACTTGAAATCTGGGAAAATTCAGCAATGTGTTTCACTGAGTATTTTTATTAAAATTCTGGTTTTGTGGAACCATTAACATTGCAACTCATGACTGCCAGGAATGAAACCTTACTGACTGCAATATGCCTATTAGTTTAATGTGCACACTATGAGTTCAGATAGCTCAAATCAACAAGAAAGTTTTGCCAAATTCTTATCCTTGAACTTCAGTCATTGGTAAGTAAGCATTTCCACATGATTTTTAGCATGGCAAGACAAAAACAGAAAAATTGCTTTTCTTTTATTAGAATAAAGCTGTGCATTGCAAAACTACAATTTCACTAAACTGATGTTTCACTTACTTTTTCAAACATAAAATAGAAATTCCAACTTTTCCAAAGCCAATTATTTTAATAAGAGGAGATTCAAATACTAGTAACTAAATTAATCAAGCAAATTCACAGTTTACATTATCAGAACCACAAATATTTTTGGAACATCCTCAATTACTGCTAGTTGCTTTGACATAAGAATTCTCCCCGCTTGTTGGGAGGTAAACAAATTTAATACACAAACGTTTTCCCAGGTTACAAGTAGGGGAACTTTTTATTTCTTCTTATTTTTGTACCCACTGGTTTTAGCCTAGGCACAGACAAGTTAAAAAATAAAAGCAAATCCTACCATAAGATGGTCATTCACAATCATCAGCTCAATATATTTGGTTTCCTCTTCCACATTACGAGGGTATCGAAGAAGCTGCAAGGTGGCAAAGGGAAAAAAAAAGAAAACACCTAAATAAGCCCTCCAAACTTAGCTATGTAAAATTAAAAAGAAAAACAAGAAAGAAGACAGCAACAAAACAAAAATTTTCTTTGTTCCTTTAGCATCTTTTAACTTTCATCAATTTATTTATTTTTGCATAGTAATAATAAATTTACATGGTTCAAAAAGTGAACAAAGTATAAAAAAGCCTACAATTATAGTTTGTCTCTTATGGATTCCTTATATACCAAGTTCCTAATCCTTCTTCCATAGTGGGTATAAGGAATTACTAGTTTCTTTCAGAAATATTTATGCAAATGAAATTAAACATGAACATCATTAACTTTATACTTCCATTCATTTTACTCACCTATACCAAGTATTTTCATTTAACAGAATACACATAAAGGAGATTCTTCCCAGTTTAATTGAATCCCAGCATTATTTCTGGGAACGGAGTGACCAGGAATCTTTATCAATTCCAAATCTGGGACATGTCCCTTGCTCTGGTATGGCTCAAAGGATCCTCCAGGTGATACAAGGGGTTAGGTCAGAATAGCCTGGAGAGTTCCTAGGTCGTCTTGGGTTACCTGGTACAGTTAGATCTCTCTGCCCATCAGGACATTTCCTCTACTTTCAAAACCATGACAATGAACGTTACAGACAAAAGCCACCAGGGTAGTCATTCTCTACACTCTCTGCAGTTGTCACACGATAACACAATGCTCAGTGAGCTCTATAATGTTAACCTTTTCCTTGATGACACGGCTCAACAGACATTTTTCACTCTTTGGTCACTTGCCCAAGGGCCATTTTTGTGATGAGGGTGTACAATACAACCTGAATCAATACATGTGCATTTGTTTTCAGTGCTATATTTAAAACAAACTAAAAATATGCTGCCAGATTCTTGGCAAATGCATTCCTAAACTTTAAAACTTTCTTAAAAGCTTCTTTAATATCAGGTTGATAGAGAATAACAGATTGTACTTCTAAGGATGGAAACCAAAGATACTACTAACCTATTTCTAATGGATGTTGTTAGGAAAAACAGATCTGCTTTGCTAATTGTGGAACGTAATACCATAGACTTCTCCACAAGTCTGGTGGCCACAACTTTGGGTTTGTTTGTTTGTTTGTTTGTTTTGGTATTTCTGCTTTGTTTTTTTGATAATTTTATTGAGAAACAAATAGCAATGAAATAGTTTCAAAACCGATTAGTAGAACAGTTTCAATAATTAATATATTGCATATTGTTGTCTTAGTGGTTATTCATTGTACAAGATGCAGACATGATATCCTGTCCTCAAACACTATTAGAATAAATCTTTCTATTCACTGAATTAAGAGAAAGTAGTCATATATCTATCCTATTTTGAATATACAGATACAAAATGGTTTTTCATTTGTATCCTTTTTTCTTTTTTTATCTTCCTAGTATAAGAATTCAAAGAAGAAATAAAAATAGAAAGGTATATCACAATTAAAAGGAAAGCAAGAACTTGAGGATTAGACAATGAAGAGAGGGCAAGGAGAAGAGCTAGGAAACATGACAGGGGCAAAGCCAGACATTTACATGCACAAGATGGGTAAGGCAATGGTCCTGAGAATCTTCCCAGGTTTTTGAAACTAGCAGCTAATTGGCAACAGCTTTATTACACCTCAGTTTCTTTGGTCCACCAGAGAAAGCCAAGGATCTACTTGGCAAAAGTTAGATGTTGAGGTGTCTGTAAAGAACTTGAAGCTATATGCCAAAAGAATATTATCCTATTCTTTCATCAACTCAGGAGTTCATGAACATATTATCTTTAAACTGACTCTTGAGAGTAGTTATTTTTACCTATTTAACTGGACTTCAAGATTTACAGTATATGTTCCCAAATCTCCACAACATACATGAAACTCTTAAGAGTAATTCAAAGACACACAGGCCTCTGAGAGGCAGTTCGGACCATATATACAGCAATAGCATCTCTTTGAGATCAGAAGCACAATCCTATTGTGCCACCCTATGGGATGGGGCGTGTTTCTTTAGCCTCTTATGCTATGCTGTCTTTATCAGTAAAATAAAGATAAAAAAAATAATGAAGGTTATGAGGATTACATGCTAATACAGAGCAGGGCACCTCGTAAGTATTATTATCACTGTCTTGAATTCATTTTGAGTTCATGAAATAATGAGGCTCATCTTTACATTCCTACACATCTATCAGCTATGCCACTAACCACACCCTGACAAATGCCTAAACTAGTATTTACCCCCTCACAGACACCTAATGTATATTTAAATGATCAGCAGCTACCAAGCGTTTTAAAATATAATACACAAGATGTGACCAAAAACTAAGGGATGTACTTAAATAAAATGATTACAGAAAAAGATACATTGGCATCAATGCCCCTGGAACAACTCTCTGCCCCCAATGCAAACACACTTATCCCATTGTTCTTGCCACTTTCTGAAGCAGTTCTGGAAGTCCTTTTTCAAGAGTGTCTTTCTTCAGTTGCATTTTCAAGGCTGCCTTGATGTCCGGGGTTGATGACATTTACCTTTCACGGTCATTTGACTTCAAGGAAGAGCCAGAAGCTGCGCTGTGAGGACAGAGGATGGGGAGTTTCCTCATCACACTGTGGTGTTTTGATCTGCCTACTTTTCCACTGGGTGGTACTCTGGAGACATGCTCACCTAACATTTTCTTTATTACACCTTGTAAAAACATGAAAGAGGATTTCTAGAACTATTAGAGAAGGTGGCAAGGACAATGGGAGATAAATATGTTCCAAGTGAGAATAGTATATAAAAGGTAGCAATGGTAATGTATCTTTTACTGTAATACACGTTTTAAAATTTAAATATTCACCACATTTTTCCATCCTCCCTTGTATATCTATGAATACATACCTGCCGTTTGTTCCTTTTTAGTCTTGGCTTTGAAATAAATTTTGGTACAGTAATGTTTACTTGTTGGAATTCTAAAAGAAAATAAATTAGACAATGCATTTGTGAAATTTCTTTAATACAGGGTAAACTAGCTTTCCTCTTATGAATTTTATAACCTATAATGTTGTATTTCATTATTACATGGGACATTAATCAAGTAGGTACTGTCAATAAATAATGTGTGGATACAATTATAAAAATCTCAAACATCATTCCTATTCTCATTTTTGTCCCTTTTTTCATATTTATTTTATAAATACCATCACATTCTTTATCAAGAAGCTTCTACATAGCAAACTTGACCTTTGCTTTCATTACCAACCTTCTAGTGGCATCAAAATAAAAAGTACTAACAACTAACCAGAAAATAATCACACATTCATAGGTTCATAATGTCTTAAGAAATTATTTTATGGCACTAAGGTTTTTACTTGTTTCTAACTCACAGTCTTCTTTCCCCAGATTTTGTTTGCGCTTAGGAACAGATAAAATCTGAATCCCTCTTAACTTGCAAGTCAGAATTATATACCATAGGTCTAGATACAAGAGTAGGTTGTTTGTAAGGGACAGTGTTCTACAAAATGAAAGAAAAAGTGCAATTTTTCCATGGAGATACTGATTTTCTAAAACACTGACAGCTGAACAACACAAAGGAGCTGAATTTAGAACTCCTCGGGGGAGCACGCTATATATGTGATAGTAAAGGTGAGTCATTAAGATTTTTGGATACTATTTATAAAACTGGACATTTTTTGAAATCACAGCACTGTACTGTGATGTGATAAAACGTGTTTTCTTGACCTATGAACAACTTATTATATTCATTGGCAAAAATCACTTATCATCAAATATATATGTTCAAAGGAATAATGAAAGATCTTTTTAATCCGAAGTTAAGGCCAAGACTCATTTAAGTTCGTTTACCTAAGTCTCTTTTTTATTACCTTAACTGATTTATTAGACAACAATGAATCAGTTATGATTATGAATTTAAACTGATTTCTAGGTTTTTCAAATATTTCAGCTAGCACTGCAATGGCAACATTGTCGAAAGAGAAGGATAATCATTAGGACAGAGAAGCTGAATAATGATGCCAGACTAGAGATTAGTATGTTAACTACTTATTTCACTTCAAACATGCTCTTGCTGTTATTTTGCTGAGGATGGTGTTAGCTTAAGCATATAAGGAATCTGCTGAATAAAGGAACAGGTGTCCTTTTGGAATGAACTGATGAGACACAAAAAAAGATGACAGAACTAAATAAAATCATGTGAATATTATACTAAACTTCAACGAATGGTGCTAGCAGAACTGAATATCCATACCAAAATCTAAAATCAAGTGCAACCTTTGCCTCACACCATGCATTAAAAAAATAATCTGGCAAGATAATAGAGTTTAAAACATTTTTATTTTTGAAAAAAATAAAATGAAAATAAAACTATAGAGTAGAGAATATTTGCAAAGGTACTGAGGGCAGGATTTGTGAGTAGGTAAGTATTGTGTAGAGCAAAAATGCAACAATCGTAAAAATTGATGAAAATCTGTAAATGGTTGTTAAAATTAAAACTCCTGCTTATGACAAAACACCATTAGGAGTGTGAATGAGCAAGTCAAGGCCTGGAAAAACCTATCTGTAAAACTTTGCTGAGAAAAGGCCTCGGATCTGAACTCTGTAACTGTGGCTTGGCCTTTCAAACAAAATCAAGAGCAAGAGGTATATAAATACCCCTGTAATGCAAAAAAAAAATTCAATTAATGGCTAGTAAGTATATACTACACATCGTTTGCCATAAAATACTTACAGGCTAACATTAAAGAACAACACCCCAGACATCGGTCAAGATATCAAGCTATCAGGACTCTCATGTAATAAGGTATAAGTATAAAAATAGCACAACCACTTTGGAAAAGGTTCAGCAAGCTCTCAGAAAACAATGGCTCTCAAAGTAGAATCCCTGAACCACCAAAATTGGAGACATCCAAGAAAAACTTGCTGGAAATGCAGATTCTCAAACTTTAGCAAGCAAGATCTAACTAAAAACTCTTGAGATAGGACCAGTTCTCCACAGCTACCATCCAATCAAGTGATTCTGATATGTGCTACAATTTGAGAATACTGTTACAGAATTAAATAGATATCTAACCAGTGGCCCATAAATACCATTCCTAGGTGTTTACCAGGAGAAATAAAAACATGTCTGTGCAAAAAAGGCTGGTACACAATTCCTTATTTATAATAGCCCAAAACTGGAAATAATTCAAGCACCCCTCAACATAATGAGTAAAAAATTATAGTGTATCCATGTAATAGAATATACTCAACAATTAAACAGAATGTATTATTTCTATTCCTGGCAACATAAAACTCACAAGTATATACTGAGCAAAAAATGCGAGACAAAAAGCATGATTCTATTTGTCTGAAGTCCTACTATTCTTTGCCAAAAGTAATCAGAACAGTGATTACAGACACAGAAAACACTGCCTGGAAAGGCAAGGAAGAAGTTCCAGAGGTAACAGAAACATTCTGTATCTCTGCAGGGGTATAGCCAAAACCTACAGAATATACACAACAGTGAACACATTCCATTGCATATCATTCTGTCAGGACTGCTAGGACTCCATAGGAAATAAAACAAGTTTTCCCCCCTCAAAATTTGTTCATAGTAACACTAGTCTTGAGAGATGTACCACATAAAGCAAAAGGCCCTATAGTGAAACAAGATTGGAGAAGACTGGATCCTATTTCTCTCTCTCTCTCTCTCTCTCTCTCTCTCTCTCTCTCTCTCTCTCTCTCTCTCTCTCTTTGGTCAGGGCAGCATAACCGAGTATCAAACTCAGGACTTCTTGTTTGCCAGGCAGATACTGCACCACTGAGCTAAATCACCGATCCCTTGATTTTATTTCTATCTATAGGAAATATATAACACATGGCAATATAAAAATATCGCTAATTTATAACATGATTAAAATTTATTCAGCCTCAAACAACCAAGATTATTCTTGAGTTCATCACACAAACACATATACACACAAACCTATATTTTTGATGCCACTGTGCCTTACCATGGCACGGCACAGGGGCACAAAGGATGAAAGATTACTTGAAGTCAATAAATACCAAGAAGATCTAAAGGGCCTGCCCTTACGAAGATCTCTTAGTACAAAGCTCTTATAAGAAGCCCCGATGCGGGGCCTGGCCTTAGCTCAGTTAAGTGGCTGCTTCCCCAAAGCTGTCAGCCTCAGGTTGCTTTGTTAGATCCCCACAACACTCCAGTCAGCCAAGCCACCCCTGAAGGCATTTGGAGCAAAGAAAAAAAAAAACCTTATTCCACTCTTTAGGGGCCAAAGAGATGGCTCAGTGGAATAAGTGCTTCCCTGGCAAGCGCAAGGGCCTGAGTTCAATCCCCGGTTCTGCAAAAAAAAAAAAAGAAGCCCCGATGCAAGAATAAGGATATATGTGCAGGAATTCATGTAGGCATGTAGGGAACGGGGGCAAGGTAAGGTAGGCTGTTACATGACTGATCTTAGGGACTACCTAAGTGGTAAATCAGTCGGGGCATGGGTAGGAGAGGGCCAGAGCACACCTCTTCAAGCCAGTGTGTTTGCTCCTACTTGGACACATGGTCCTGCAAGCTGTCTCTGAAGCTCTCACCATGAATTTCAGGAGGTGTGGGGCACATAACACCACAAGTCCTTTTTGACACTTATTTCTCTCTTATTCTAATTTATCATAATAAAGATTCTATATAAAATAAGAGCATAATAAATCATAAACACTCTTTAGAAACAAAGACCACTCTTAAAATTAAAAGTGCTAACTCCTAATGAAAAACTAGAAACTCACTGAGACAGGTATTAAATTTTCAAATAATAATTCTAAAAATGACTGCAATAATAGGAAGACTGCTAGATCACTTCCAAATTTTCTTCTGAAGAAGAATACTGAGCAAAATTTTATAAAATAATTATAAGAAGCCAAGCATGGTGGCACATGCTGATAATCCCAGGACTCCAGGAGGCTGAGGCAAAAGGATCATAAATTCAAGCTGTGTAGGTTAGTAACTTAGTGAGCCTTTATCTCAACAAAACAAAAACAAAAGTGACTAGGGATGTAGCTCAGAAGGAAGGCCCTAGATTCAATCCTTAATACCACATTAGACAGATAAACAGACAGACAGATAGACAGAGATTTAGATAGATACAAGGTTTTATATATATATATATATATATATATATATATATATATCACAGCAAGCTGATAATATCTTTAGGGTGAACTTTTATATATTACTTTAAATATTAATGTTGACTGCTCCCAATAACACCTATTAATTTATAGCTTTATCCTCATGTACTAGGCATAATTTATTTTCTTCCCGTAATAGGATTTATACAAAGTTTCATAGCTTACTGAAGGAAAGTCTAAGGAGTCTATAAAAAAAGTAAGAGCATTGCTGTATTTATTTGTGTATTTTTCAAAAGAGTGAATTCTATGAAATAGGAATTTCCATGCCTTGGCAAAACTCTGTGCCTCTGGCAACAAGAGAGACAGGGAGTACTACTTTTTCCTCGGGGCAACTGTAGGAGGTCAAAGAGTTACTTTACTTTAGAGAGGAGGGACAATGGAAAACACTCATCCCCTTTTCTAGTGAGGGTAAAAAGTAAAGTTTATGTGCTTTTCTAAGCAGACATCTAGGATTTGCTGTCAGGTTGGTAAACCTCCATGTCCTCTTGGGCCTGGCTTGCACAGTACATCTTCATGGTGTCCTAAGCCAGCACCTCCCTTTGTAACTCACTGCCATGGGACCATGAAAAAAGACTAACGAGCTGAGCTCTGTGCCTTTGTCTACAAAATGGATTTACTATGGATCTTACAGAGTTGTTGCCAAGATCAAACTAAGATTAAAAATTAGAATGGCCAGGGTTCACTTTTTAGGGGAGGAAGCAACTCTACACCAGATACTCAGTGTCCCTCTCTTCAGAGGGAGGAAACAAAGAAGACATAAAGATTAGTCTTAAAGCATTAAATGAATCCTTGAAGTTGTTCTTTAGAAAAAGCCACTATTTGAGCACCATACCAGATGGAAGATCATCCAAGGGAAATTCAAACACTCTGGATTTGTAAACTAAATGGAAATGGAAATCCTCCTGAAATGAGAGAAGCAACAGAGATTAAGCAAGCACAGCCAGAAATCTCAGGGACCCTTTGAACAGCCAGGACTTTACTATATATCCTCCTGGGTTGGGGGCCTTCCTCCCCCAGGCCTGCTTTCTCCCAGAAACAGAACAATGCCCAATTAGAAGTAAAGGTCTCCCAGAGAAGCTAAAGCCTGCAATAATGAGAAATAAATAAATGGGCCTATCCCCCCAAGGAAAGTAAGACATCTGGCAAAGTGGGTTAATGTTTTTTATGAGTGGTTCCTTTCACGGATTCCTGCTCACTTTTAAAAGCCAGATAAGTTTAGTAAGCAAAGGTTGCAGAGGAAGCAGCCTTCCTGGGAACAGGAGCAGGGGAATGGGACAAGCGGATGCCCAGATTTAAATCACACAAAATTGCATTAGGAAGAGATAAAAATCACATTTTTAAGTAAAATTAATGAGCATTCAAATAATTGCATCTGGCTTCATTTCATTATCAAAAAGATAGCATGTCCTAAATAGTCAAGTTTCATGATATTACCTTTAAAAAAATCACACTGTTAAGCAAAGTGGCAGGATAACTAGTATCTACAGTATTGTGTATCTACAGCTAGCCTGGAAGTATACTGTATTTCTCTACAATTTATAATATTAATTATATATTTTTCTGATTTGTAGCAAATAAATATTTCAGCTAGTTTTAGGGAGTGAATGAAGAAATCCTAGACTTCTCTAAACTTCACTGACATACAGTCTTGAGGGCAACAGGCAATGAAGAGAAATCTGGAAGCTAGAAAAGAGAGGACGAGTGAACAACCACACTGGCTGTGGGTTTCATCTGTTGTGTACTGCATGTTTTGTGCAGCAGCCAAAATTCCTAGGCTGTAGTCTTAACTCTGTGTTGTGGTAGCTGGAGATGGGGCCTACGTGAAATACAGAATGTCACAGGAGGTCACAAGGGTGTGGCCGGCCCCACAGAGGGGGTATTTTGGACAGGAGCAGACAAGCAGGGGTGCCCCTCTCTAGTGTGAGAAGTCACAGTGCAAAGGCAGAGAGTGGCCCTTTGCCACCACCAAGAGAGCCCCCACCAGACACCAGTCCTGCAGGTCTCACCATCACGGATTTCACAACCTTCAGAACTAAGAAATAAAATCTTCTGTTAAGTGACTCAGTCATGGCATTTTGTCATGGTAACCCAAGCTAACTCATACAGAGCATATTAGGGGGGAGACAGAAATAAATGGAGGCCTCTGAATGTCCTAGAAGGAAAATACTCCCAAAATAAAAGAGGATGAGACAAAAGAGAAGTTTGTTGTTTTGACTTATTCAATATCTAATCTATACATTTACGACCCTAGCCCTAAATACACAAATAGAGTCGAGGGGGAGAAGGGAGAAGGACAAAGCTGTAAGCATCAGCACTGACATTCCCTCTTCAAGCCCACACTTACTGGGGAGGTCTCATTTTCTTCAGGCTCGATGAGATACGTATGGTTCCCATCGTAGAACATCCCACTGCCAAGAAGAAGAAAATAGTTAGGCATGGCCGTCAATTCCTACTGTAGAACACAATCATTTTACTGTGGAAGCAGCCATAACACCAGTCCTACCTGTCACTGCTACACAAACCACACACACACACACACACACACATACACACACACACACACACACACAGAGCTGAGAGGAAAAGGCCTTTCCTGGATTTCCTCAGGTCCTCTCACGCTGACTCCACCCCTTGCCATCCTCCCATGCCTGTTGTTGTCCACTATCAGGTAATTCTAATCCTTTAATATGCAAAAGGACATCTGGAGTTTCAGGCCATTCCTTAGATTTTAAACTCCAAACAAACCACAGATGTTTCTGCTACAGGTTGTCAGGAAGTAGAATGGCCTCCCCATATAAACCTGGAACACGCTCTCACAGTAAAAGCAAACAAATGTCTGTCATGAGCTGAGTATTTTGCACTCATGTATTCTTTTCCATATGTATGAGGGAAGTGCAATGAATCCTCATTTTCCAGGTGAGGAAACTGAAGCACAAAGAGATTAACTAACTGGGCCAGATGACATCACCAATAAGAGCAGAGGCATGAACGTAGGCCTAGGATGGATCCCTGAGGTGCCCCGTGCAATCGGCCACCCATGTTCTTTCATTCATTCGCCATGTATGGACAGCTTTAGAATGCTCTAGGTGCTGGGATACAGTAGTGAACGAGACAGCCCAATTCTGCTCTTGTGCTGCTGATGTGTATTCTATGGCTAAGAGAAAATAAGTCCACAACAAGAAAGTAAGTATCAGATGATGACAAATTTCAGAGAAAAAAATAAAGCAGGTGAAGGGCAACAAACAGGGCCAGAAGACCAGATGTGGAGGGCTAGGGAGAGGATGCTGGGTTCAAAGAGGGGCTCAGAGCAAGGCTTCGCAGAGAAGACAGCATTGAAGCCCCAACCTGAAGAAAAGAGGAGTAAGTCCTAAGCATATCTGTACGAAGAGCACTGCAGACACAAGCCCAGGGGGAGGGAATCTTGAGTTGTTCTTGAGGCTGGGATGAGGGCAAATGTGCTGGAAATTGAGATCGGGGCAGTGGGGCCAGAGGAGCAAGCTCTCTGGGACAGATGAGGAGTGGCCACTGCGGATTTCAAGTCAGAAGAAACTGAATGTTCTGTTTTGAAGTGATAATCCCAGCTGCTGGCTGCAATAATCTGCAGGGCAGCAGGCACATATGCAGAGACTACTGCAATATCCTTGTGAAAGAAGTGGCGTCTTAGATCAGGGTGATAATGGAAGAAGAGATGAGGAAGGGCCAAATTCTGGACATTCACTTACTTATTTTTATTTTCAGTGTGTTATGGCTTGAATCTCCATTTCCCCCTAAAGGAAGGGACTTTTCAGAGATGGCTGATCTAAGATGTGAGGTGCTGCAATTAAGTATGAGATGCTGGGAATAAGGGTGCCCCACTCTGGTCATAGGTGGCACTAATAAATATATTTACAGTCTGGATAGAATATAAGGCTGCTTCTGCTGTTTCACTGCTGCTGTTTCTCCTGCTGCCTTTGCTTGCTGCTTGCTGCCTTCTGCCCGCCCTGCTTTGCCATGGATCGTATTTCCTCCACGATGCCCTCTGCCATGTTGCACCCTTCCTGGAGCCAGCTGACTATAGGCTGAAACCTCCACCATCTGTGAGCTACATAAACCTCTCCTCCTTTTTTGTCTCAGCAACAAGAAAAACTAACTAAGACACAGTGCTAGGGATTAAAACATAGACCTGGTATATCCTGAACACATGCTCTTCCACTGAAGAAGGCTCCAGCCTCAATACAGTTTTAAAAGTAAAACCAGGGCCAGCCAAATAGCTCAGCAGATTAAAGTGCCTGCAAGCAGGAGCAGGGCCCAGGGGTTCAATCCCCAGTCTGCCCCGCTGGCCCAACCCCTGGGGCATGCTGAGATGGCAATTGAGACTGGTCATGGTGGCGTGCACCTGGAATCCCAGCTCTTAGGAGGCTGTAAACAGGAGGGTCACTGAAAATCTGATCTAGTAGTTGGACCCTGAACACTCTGTAGACCCTTCCCTAATAGCAC